CAACACTCCCCCGGGGCCGCGACGCGCATGTAAAGTAAGTGTTTAAGTAGCGTAGGTAAAGAAAGTGCTTTCGTGAAAATGTCCGCAGGATTGTCCGCACCAGGAATATGAATAATCTTCAGCTGCTTACCCCGAATCGCCTCTCGCAGCCAATGGTACCGGATGTGCAAGTGCCGTACCCGCGAGAAGTTCGTCGAACGAGTCGCCAGGCTTTCTCCCCCAGCGCTGTCCATTCGAATCACCACAGGACGCTGGATCGGCACGTAGATCTCGTCCATGAAGTTCGCGATCCAGACTCCCGTCTGCCCTGCGTGAACGGCAGCGATGTATTCGGCCTCGGTGGTCGACAGCGTCACCACCGCTTGCCTCCGCGAGCTCCATGAGACTGGTCCGCCCGCCATCATGACGACGTGTCCGTGCGTCGACCGTCCCGTGTCGGCGCAGTCGCCCTGGGACGCGTCCGAGTAGATTGTGGGTTGGAGACCTGCTGAGTGGTTGCCGTCGTAGGTTATCCCATAGTCTAGGGTCCCTCTGATATAGCGAAGAACACGTTTGAGTGCGCGCCAGTGCTCGTACGACGGGTTCGCCATGAAGCGGCTAAGGAGTTGGACCGGGTAGGATAGATCAGGGCGAGTCGCGACGGCGAGGTACATAACGGCTCCAAGCGCTTCGCGGTAGGGGATCTTCTCCATTTCCTCGCGCTGCTCAGCGGTCGCCGGCTCAGCTTCCTTCGACAGCTTGCACCCGGGCTCGAGTGGTGCCTTGACCGGGTTTGAGTTCTTCATCCCGAACCGGTCAAGCACGCGTTCCGCGTACGCACGCTGGGAAAGACGCATCGTCTTTTGCGCCCGGTCTCGCTCGATCAGAACACCTAGCATGTACTTCAGCTCACCTCCCCCGCTGAGCCGGTACCGCACAGCGAGCTCGGACCGCACGGTTGCTAGCCCTTCCTCCGAATCCGCCGCCTCCCCGATGTCGTCCGTGTACGTTGCGGTAATAGCCAGACCGTCTCCGTCGAACCTCGCCCGTACGCACTCGTCCGATCGCGATCGCGAGAAGCCCAGGTCCTGGTACGTCTCGTCAAGGTGCTTCCACCAGTCGTTTCCCGCCTGCATGCACCCGTACAAGCCACGTACCATCCTGCAGACGTGAGTCGGAAACTCCGCCGAGACGTACCCAGCCGGTTGTTCCATGTAGATAGTCTCTTCCGGGGATGCATTGAGGTATGCTTTCTCGACGTCATCCTGCGCCATCTCCATGTCGCGTACAACCGCCGTCGCACATACCAGTCGTAGAGATTCGAACCGCACGACAGAGGCGTGGGTCTCGAAGTAGTCGACGCCGGGTATCTGCTGAAATCCTTTCGCCACGAGCCGTGCCTTCGGTTTCCACTTCCCGTTGGACTCCTCGTCGCCGTTGAACTTCCGTGCGTATACCCATTTGTTTCCTATTACGTTCATGTCTGGTGTGCGTGGTACGAGCTCCCATGCGTTGATTTTCTTCAGGCCATTGATCTCGCTGTCCATCGAGGGCGTCCAAATCTCCGATCGACGGCATGCCTCTTTGTAGGTCTCCGGTGTCTTGCCCCCGCGGTACCACCGGACGTCCCCGTCACTGCCTGCAGACGTCGCCTCCGTGAACATGGCCAAGTAGGCGCCCTCCGGGCTCGGATTACGCGGGGCAACCCCATCGTCGTCGACGGCCCACGCTTCTCCCTTGTCGCGCGCCGCCTGTTCACGCTCGTCGGACTCGTGTGACTCACGTAGTTTCTGGCTCGGTGCCGTGGCTCTCGTCGATCTGCGCGGTGCTACTGCCTCCCTCGGCGCTTCGATAGGTTCATCCACCTCTGCTGGCCTCGCCTCTCCCGCAACTTCCGGCTCCATGCGCTCCGGCTGACCGTCGGGCTCCTCTACGACGTGTCCCAGTTCCTGCTCCTGCTCCACTTCCTCGACATGCACAACGGTCGGTGTGTCCTGGATCAGAGTTCGGTGCCCGGGTCCTTCCTCAAATATAACGTCGCGGCTCCGGATCATACGACCAGTCGCTGGGTCCCACAGCCTGTAGTTCGCATTCTCGGTGTACCCGACGAGTATACACCGGATTGACTTTGGGTCTAGTTTTGTACGCGTCTCGTCGGGGACCTTCGCCCATGCCACTGATCCAAAAGCTCGCAGGTGAGCGACGTCCGGCACGCGTCCGAACCACGCTTCGTAAGGCGTACGACCTCCTTGGCGTGCAGAAGCCGTCAGGTTCTTTACGTACGTCGCCGTCTTGTACGCCTCCGCCCACAGTCTAACTGGCAACCCTGCATCGAAGAGCATGGACCTGGCATGATCGCCCAAGGTTCGATGCCCGCGCTCTGCTATACCGTCCTGCTGGGGCGTGTACGGTGTCGTTGTCTCGTGGATAATCCCGTGCTTCCGAGTGAAAGCGGCCCACAGTGCGTTGTCAAATTCGTGCCCGTTGTCGGTACGTATGCGTAAGATTTTCTTGCCCGTCTGCAACTCGGCCATCGACTTGAAGCTGCTGAAAGACTCGAGAGTCTCGCTAGCTTCCTTAGTTTTCAGGATGTCAAGCGCTTCGAAGGATGATTTTCCGTCGTGGAGGGTCATGCTGTGGTATGCTCCGCCCAATGATGGCTCCCGTGCACGTCCCGTCAAGTCGATGTAGATTCGCTCACACACCTCCTTTTCGACGCTCGACGACGTAAAGGGCTTGCGAGGATGCTTCCCTTTGATGCAGTCCTCGCACTTCCCGAGCGGCATCCCTCCGACTACTTCCATGCCTGTGACTGCGCCGGATCTCGCCATTTCCATCACAGTACGCTCGCTGGCGTGTCCGAAACGGCGATGCCAAGTGTGTACATCAGCTGATTTCGCGTTTGTCAAGGACGCCAGGGCAGTCAACTTTCCCGAAGTTGCCGCGTTCGGGATCGACTGTACGTTGACTCGAGACAGCACGACTTCGTATAGGTTGCCCGCGGTCATCTTCCCGACAAGGATAGGGTTTCCTCCGCCTTGGCCTATGATTCGCATCTCCCCTCCCTTGATCGCAATGTTGCACCCACTACCGTCGATCCGCGATATGGATATCAGGTTCGCCGCGAGCTCTGGTACATGGAGGGCGTTGCGAAAGGTGACTACCGACTTCTGACCTCCGATCGTCATCTCGGCGTGGACGCACCCGACACCGATGATAGTGAAGTTGGCGCCTCGTTTCGCGCTGCTTCCGGCGTGTGGGGTTAAAGGGAGGTACTCAGAAAAGTCTGCGCGGTTCGTGAAGTAATGATGGCTCGCGCCCGAGTCCAGGTAGGCGCGTATCGTCCCGTCCGCTGGTTCATCCTGGATGAGGACTGCGCTGGCCATGAACACGTTGTAGTTGAGGGCCGCGGTAGGAGTCGCGAAGGATGAGGAAGGGATAGTGGTCGCCGGAGTACTGACGATCTGTGCGCTCGCCATGGGATGCGCTAGGTCGGCCGGCGAGCCCTTCTTCGGTCTCGGCTGCGACTTCCAAGTCGACGGTTGTTGGCCTGCCATCCCTCCGCCCTCGCAATAACACCTCTCCTTCGAATGACCCTTCCACAGGCACCAGTCGCAAATCATCGCCGCCTTCGCGGCCGTCATGAACGCTGACGTATGCTGCTCGACCGGCGCTGCCATCTGCGTGACTCCGAGTGGATTTTGGGGTTGACCGGTTCGTAGCATTTCGTTGTCGTGGACGGCGAGGATTGTCAGGATGACGTCTTCTGGATCGGATTTCGTAAGAAGGCTGGCCGTGATATGGTTGTATACATCGCCCATGGATTGGCATATGATGATCGCGAAGCGGTGGTCGGTGAGAGGTGATGCCATCTCGTTACACGCCTTGCGACGACGGCGTAGTTCCTCGAAGTGGGCATGGATGTCTGAGCCAGGGACGTACTTGCACTTCTTCAAATACTCCTCGGCGTTCATGACCGCCAGCTCGCTTCGCCTCTCCTTTATCGCCAGTAGAGCCGTCCAGAACTCGTACGCTGTAAGACCGAAGGGTTCAACACCGCAGATCGATAGATCCATGTTTAGCGTGCATGTTGCCTTCGCGTGCAAGTCATTCTTGTTCCATTTGGCAAGCTCGGTCTCTTCGGCTGGGGTGGGCGTGGCGCCGGCGGGCTTAGGCGCGGTCGTCTTTCCGAGCAAGTGGCCTAGCTTTCCCTGGAGTTCGACGATTGTGAGGATTTTGCTCTTCCACTGCACCCAGTTGGTGCGAGTCAGGTGGAAGTTCTCAGGGAGTATGATCACTTTGTCCTTGTCGTCCGACATCGTGGGTATATGCGTTTTCGGTGACTATATGCGTGTGAGAACGGTGGTTTTGCCGTGGAATCGTCGAAAACGGGTGGTTGTGCCCTTAAAGCGTCGTCGGTTTGTACGAGGAAGCGGTCAGAAAAACGAGACGGGGCTCATAACCTGTTAAGGTTACAAAGTCTCAGTCGCGTCCTCGTGGTACTCGACTCGATTGCTACACTACCTGTTAAGGTTACAAAGTCTAGGAATACAGTATCAGTGCCCAGCATCCGAGAATAAAACTACAAACAGGCTTACCTCAGTCGCGTCCTCGTGGTACTCGACTGAGGTAGCTCTACTCTACGCGCGTCCGTTGAGTCCGTTCGTTCGTCACGTGTCCGTGTCATCACAAGCGCCCGCGTCTCGGTCCCACCTCAACAAAGGTGAGATACAAAATCCTCATAGGACGTAAAGGCGGTGCTGCATTGACCATCTGGGCAGACAATAGGGAAGCCATGGTTGTACCTTCGCTGCTGTGGGTCGTCCATTGGCACCTAGAATCAAAGCTAGCAACAGTATTACACTGAGAGTCAAGAGGTTCAAGTTGCGTATGCTAAGCTTCAACGGCTTCAACGGTATGAAGACTTGGAGATACGCCTGCTATGCCAAGTCACATGATCTTACTTGTATAGTGGACTCGGACTTAGGAAGTCTTTACTCATGCCTCACACCTCAACCGTCATGTCACTTGCCCGACCCCGCTCGCAATCGGAGGGTACTGCAACCCCCAAGCCTCCTATCACCACCTCTGATGCTGTACGCATTCGCAACGACCACCTCTCTGAATCATACCGCCAGGCCCTGCTCGACCCAGAGTATGCTACCGTCCGGTACAGCCTGCTGCAGCCAGACATTGCCGATGAACAGCGCTTTCTAGATGCGTTCGGGTCTACTGAGCGGATTGAGCATCTGGCGCACCACTTTCCGCTTGCCCTCGCTGCTCAGGTATGCTCTCAGTTGTGTTTCCGTGCGAACTAGCTACTAACATAGCCACAAGGCTGAGCCTATTCAGCCTGCCATGCTCGCTGATCTCTCCATCGATGGCCTCGCGGAAATGGTTGCTTCAAAGAGACAGTCTGTCACTGCACGAAGCTCTGAGCTTTCGACGATGCAGGAGCAGATCAGCGAAAAGTGTCGCCAAATCGAGCTGCTTCACGCGCTGTCCGAGACTCACATCCACTGTCTCCGCCTCTCCCACATGCAGCTACAGGACGTGGAGTCTTACATGCGTGCTCGGAAGATCGAACACATCGTCGAGGAGCTAGTTGCGGAGAAGCTGAGGGCAGAGCAGGAGCGGAAGTTGAGGATCATGTCCGCCGCGACCCTTGGATTTCTGGATGCTCAGGAAGGCGAAGATTCCTCCGGCTCAGACCCGGAGACTGACAGCGAAGGAAGCTCCGTTCGCACGAAGACAGGCAATTTCGAGCCGCTCCTGCCCATGAAGGAGAAAGAGCCACAGTAGCTCTGTCAACACGATGCCAGTGCGTTTCCTACTCTCCCACCCCTGAACCTTCTGACCGCATGCAAGTAGGTTTATGTGTACATGCCGAGTGTTGTCGAGCTTCCCAGCATCCCTCTTCCCCCGCTGCGGCCTCTATGTTGTTCTATCTGTTCTCTACTGCTCTATCTCTACGTACTGTGCTGCTACAATGAATGGTGTACGTACATCTCTGCTTCTGTATGAATATCACTTTGGGTATGCATGTTCCGAGAGCTAAGAATGGACGCCATGCTTGGATGGTCAGATATGCACGATGCAAGTCATCGGGTTCTGACATGCCTGTAGATTTGTTAGCCACACGGTTCAATCAACTACACCAACTCTGAGCCTGATGACTGACAAAGGGCAGAACACGGCGACAGCTAAGGGCACGAACAAGCCCAAAGCTGCATCTAAACCAAAACAAAGCAAGGTACGTGATCTAGCCTTGCTGCAGATAAGCACGGACAAGCTGAGTCACAGCATGCATTTAGAACGTACGAGAGCTTCGCGCTGCAGGCCTCAACCCATCGCACAACGCTGAAGACCCGCAATTGAGAATCACATCTGAGCAGCCTCTGCGACCACAAGAGCACAGAGTGAACATGACACTTGAGGAGCACGAAGTACGTAGACTGTACTTCCTTCAAAAGTTATCCCATCATGATGATGTCGCATCTGATACTGTACAACTTGTGTAGGATTATGTCCACTCTGTGCATGGTTACGGTGGCCCAAACAACATGCCAATGACGGCACCTCCAAGTCAAGCTGGCACAGGCATTGCCAATCTCCTTGGTGAGTTATTTTCTTCTAGCTATTCTACGGCTTTTACATATGGTGATGCGTGTTTTGGGACGAGCACAGACCCTCAGGCTGTTCATCACGGCTCGAGCCATGTCCCACCGTACCAGCAGAGTCATCGCGACCTGCCTCCTCCAAGTTCTCAATTTGATCAGCAGCAGCATAGCGCTTTTGACTCTCATCCATCACTTCCACCGCTGCCTACAATGATGGGTAGCTTCACTGGGCCTTCACAATCCCAATCTACAACGATCGGTGGCTTTGCTGGACCTTCACCACAATCCCAGTCTGCGATGATGGGTGGCTTCGATGGACCTCCGCAATCCCAGTCTACGACAATCGCCGGCGGCTTTGCTGGACCTTCGCCGCAATTCCAGTCTGCGATGATGGGTGGCTTCGCTGGGCCTTCACAATACCAGTCTACGATGGGTGGCTTCACTGGGCCTCCGCAATCGCAGTCTACGACGAGGGCTGGTGGCTTCGCTGGGCCTCTGCAATCCCAGTCTACGACGATCGCCAGCGGCTTCACTGGACCTTCGCCGCAATCACAGTCTGCGATGATGGGTGGCTTCGCTGGGCCTCCGCAATCGCAGTCTACGACGAGGGCTGGCGGCTTCGCTGGGCCTCTGCAATCCCAGTCTACGACGATCGCCAGCAGCTTCACTGGACCTTCGCCGCAATCACAGTCTACAATGATTGCCGGCGGCTTCGCTGGACCTTCGCAATCCCAGTCTACGATGATCGGTGGCCTCGCTGGACCTTCCCAACCCCAGTCTGAGCCTCTACAATCCCAGCTAGCGAATGCTTACCAATATTATAGCAATACTAGTGGCCCCAGCATGCAGCCCATGGGACTGGCACGGTTTCGTCCTCCTAGAGATTTCATGGACCGACTTCCTACCGTCCAGCTTTCACAGCCCCGCGTCATCTCAACAGTCCAGTCAAGCACTACTGTACTTGACCAATCTCGCAAGCGAACTCGACCGACGAATCCTCCCAAGGCAACACAAAGTAAGCTTTCACATCTCATCGAAGCAGTTTCTAACTGCTTTCACAAAAGGTGGCATGACGCCTCACGAAACCGATGAATGGGCAAGCCGCAACACTCAGTTCTACACCAGATGCTGGCATGCTCATGTATGAATACCTGTTGTTAGCACAAAGGGATCATACATAAATCCCAGTACTTACAATTCCCCTTCATGTATGAAAGCGCAGTAATCACTGCAGCCGGCGCCCCGCTCACTACCCGAAAGGGCAGCTGCCCTTTATGGACCACCCAGGTCACTGGGCCCGGGCGCCGGGGAGAGCTCGCGGCGGCGACCCTACCCAAAATGGGCGCCGTCGCGCGCTCTTCCTCTTTGGGTCCTGTCGCGGGCTCATCGGGCGAATGCGATCGCAACGAGTGATCAGCGAGATCTGACGTTTTCTGGGGCCAGGTACAGTACCGTATATAGTGACTTCTTTGGCACCGTGCCTAGATGGTTTGTATCTAGATCCGGCAGATGGATAACATGTATGTCGTGCCCCATGACATATATGCTGCACATGTCGCACTCCTCGACATACACTAAAGGATTTGTTCGTCGCAATGACAATGGCTGCTTCAAGCCTTGATGCAATTCGCATGAAGGGCCAAGGCAACCCTCCTATTTTGGTATGTTTAAGGCCTTGACAAATCATCACGCTCAGTCAAATGCAGCGGCCTTAGAGATCCACGATATCGACACTACGCAGTATACTAAACACTACAGAACAGGCGGATAACGCTGCAACACTGACTATGCCATACTACTCCTGCTCATCGCCCGCCTGTTCGTCGCCCGCCTGTCCGTCGCCGTCCAACCCATCACTTTCCCATCCGTCGCCCATAGGCCCACACAGTTCGTCCTCCCACTCCTCATCCATATGCTCCCACTGGCATGCCTCGTGGGCCCTGCCCAAAGGCTCGCTCGCCATGCGTAGTGCTTGCAGTATGCTGCGGTGACTCTTGTTGATGGGTGGGTCGTGCTTACTGACGCGTTGTTCATGCTCGTCGACACAGCGCCCGACGAACAGACGCGTTCGTCAACGGTGTGCCCGACATGTTTGTCGATGCGGCGCCTGGCGTGTTCGTCGACGCACTTGTTAACGCATGATTCGTGTTCGTTGTCGCCCTGTTTGTGCCCGTCATCCGCCTCTGTCAGGTTCTGCCCGAGCGGCCACATCCCTTTGTACCCGCCAACACACTCACCCTGTCAACGTGCCATTCGACACGCTCGTCGACGCACTCGTTGACAAGAGGGTCAGTCTGGACTCTGGGGCGGGTAGTAGATTAGTGCATGCATAGATGACTAGGCCAGGCGAGCTTACCTGGGTAAATTCACCCCTGAATGTGTCTCGGAACCCCAACCGTTGTCTTCCGTGTAGAGTCGAGTATGAAAGCAGAATGGTAGTGATACAGTAGCACGCAGAAGCGACGTGAGCCTTGCGGGCGCCCGTAAACTCAACGTTTGTGTCTATTTGTCGTCTCACTAGATTTGGCAACCCCGATGTGCTCGGGCTGTTCCTGGCCAATCAGAACACGTTTAACGGTCCTACTTAGGCCTGCAACATACCTGCGATTTGTGATCGGGACGTTTCCGCACCGTGTATGCATGTATTGTATGCTGGAACGGGGATTAGATACATGTTTAGTAGGATTTACGACAGCAGATGAGATGTAGGACAACATTCTCGTGTTCAATAAGGATATTTAGTGTACTGTCCTGGTTTTCAGCCGAGTCTCGAGTCATAATGGGTGTTCAGCCAAGTCTTGAGTCGTGATGAGTGTTGCGGCGCGATACATACTGGACTCAATGATAACACATTCATTGTATATATAGATTGTATTGTGCCATTACATTTCATTGAATGTTTGAACATTGCACACAAGTGCGATGTTTTCAGATTAAACGAAGCCAGCACACGGATCTATTCTACATGCTGCATGCGCCCCGGCCCTGCCCACTGTCGCGGTCACCTACTTCTCGCTCATGTGCCCACCTTGCGTTCGTTGGCCGCGCTTGCGGCTCTGCACGCTCGCGGTCGCCGTGCGTGTGGTGCTGGTCCGCGCCCTATGCTCGCCTGCCCTCTCGCCCTCGCCCTCTCACCCGCTTGTCCTCTCGCCCGTCCGCCCTCCCAGTTTCCCGCTCACCTGCTCGTCCATCTACCCACCCGCTCGTCTGCTTGTCAACGCATCCGTCTGCTCATCCACCCGCCGCTTGTCCACCTGCCGCTCGTCCACTCGCCCGCCCGCCCTCTCCGAGTCGTCCATCCGCCCGCCCGCCCGCTCGTCCACCCACCGCTCGTCCACCCGCCCACTCATCCGTCCGGCCCCCTGCTTTCCATCTGCTCGCGCGCCTGCGCCTGCATTTGTCGGCTGCGTCTGCGTGCTGGGCATTCGCTCAGCGCGCTCGCGGTGGGCATGTGCTGTCGTTAGTGTCTGCCGGCTCTCCTACCCGCCCAAATGCTCACTTGTCCGCTCTTCTTCCCGCCCGCATGCGCTCGTCCATCCTATCCATCGGCACGTCCGCCCGTCTGCCCTGCCCGCCTGCCCTGCCTGCCTGTCCTGCCCGCCCTCGCGTCTGTGCCTGCCAGTGGGCTGCGTTTGCACGCGGCAATATCCCTGCGCGCTCGCGGTCGACGCGCATGTTATGCTGCATGTCGCCGCGCCCTGTGACCATGGTCAGCTCGCTCGCTCGTCTGTGTTTGCACTCACCTCGATGCAAGCCCTTCGCTGACACACCCGCCGTCCCGGGCAGTTCGTCAGCTTCATCTGCATGCAGGAGAGCAATGCGTCATGCACGCTACGCTCTGACGACGTCGGTAAGTGATGTGGGATGGTGGAGGTGGGATGGTGGAGGAGGGATGGTGGAGGAGGGTGGAGGTCGCGAATGGCGGGCGGAAGCGCTCTTTGCGGCCTTCCGGGCTTGGCCGAAGCTCACGCCACGCAACGGGCAGGGCGGCAGCGCAGGAGATCCGAGATCGTATCCGATCTCAGATGCGCTGACCCCGATGTGCATCCAAATGGGTAGGCTCGCATCGCGCGCCAGTGGTACCGCCCCGCCGGGGCCGAAAACCGGGCTGCCCCGGGGTAGCTGCCATATCAGGTAATGACCGACGGCGCCTCGTTCATACATGACGGCGTCTCGCTCATACATGAGCTAGTGGCAGCTCATGTATGAGAATAGGCCTCGGTAAGTACAGGTGTTTATGTATGATACCTTTGTGCTAACTACAGGGATCTCATACAAGAATATGCCTATATGGCCTGAGTTCTACGACCATGCTACCACAAGACGCAGCACCACCCGCGAGACTGAGGGCCAAGAACCACGCGATTCAGCCAACTTGAAGTCCATCTTTGAAGGTTTCCGCAATGAGCTGATCGAAGTCATCAAGCCTCGTATCCAAGCATACGTTGCCACGGAGGTTCCATTTCATCAGCAAATTGGGCAATTGCTGAGCATCTGACCAGCTGACAGCTAGCTCTCAGAAGCTCAGTTCACTCAGACTTACCAGTCGCCTTCAGAGACAGACAGTTGTCAGAGAGTATCTCTGTACTCTCAGACTCGTAACAGCTCTCAGTTATTGCTTGTACAGTACTCAAACAGTCACACCAATACTTATTGTTGACGTACATTGCTCACACTCGTAGCACCGAGACTACCTTGCGCAGCGTCGGCCAATCCAACGTCAATATATTGCATCATTAGCTATATAAGTATATACAGATATGAAGCTCCCCGTTTGTCGGCCATGCCTGCACACAGGGCATTAGTCCTGCATGCTCACAGCTGCCATGTACGTCGTAGTGTACACCATTATGCCCTATGCCCGCCCGCTTGCTCGCCCACCTACCCGTTCGCTTGTGCACCCACTGTCTGTTCGTCAGCGGCACGCTCGCAGTCGGTGTACACACCGTGCTTCACGACGCTGGCACCTGTTCCTGCAGTTAGCGTGCCCACCCGCGTGTATTTGCACTCACCCGTCTGCACTCGCCCTCGCCCGTCCCCGCCGTATTCTCGCCTGTTTCTGCTACATGTTCGCCGTCCGCACACCTCCCGCCTGCGCCCACGCCCGCACTCTGCTCGTCGCTGGGGCTGTGCCCACGGTGTGTTTGTTGGCAGCACCTTCGCCGTGTATGCTTGGTATGAGAATGCAGGTAGAGGGCGTGACGCACTGCCCGTTTGAGCAAGCGTCCGAGCAGGCGGGAATCCGAGCGGGCGGGAATCCGAGCGGGCAGGAATCCGAGCGGGCGGGCGAACAGGGGAGCGAGGCGGATGAGCAGGTGGGTGAGTGAGGGAGCGAGGTGGATGTATAGACGAGTGAGGTGGGTCGGTAAGCCAGGCAGGTCGGCAGCAAGGTCAGCGAGCGAGCGGGCTGGCGAACGGGCTGGCGAGAAAGCCAGCTGGCGAAAAGACGGATGGGCGAGAAGACGGATGGGCGAGAAGACGAGCAGACGAGAAGACGGGCTGGCGAGATGGGCTGGCGAGCGTATGCACGCGTGCACAAGTGAGCGAGCGTCGCACTCACCTGTAAGCTGTCCGTGTTCGACGCGCACCCGTTCACGGACCTACCGGGAGCGGATCCGCGAGGGTGGCGGCCCCGTCATCTCGCTCATTCAAGAGCGAGTTCGTAAGTGGGCATCGCGACGAGCGTGGTGTGCTTGGCGACTGGGGCTTCTTGAACGCACTGCCATGCGCGAGGACGAGAACGTGCGCGTGGCCTTACTCGAGCATCAGGTCGGAGCTGGAGATGCCGCTGGGGAGTATGACGGAATCATTTCCGCTGAGGTCCAGTCGGCGCGGGGATGAGGACGTCCTAAACGATGGGGACGGGACTTGGATCTTGAAGCTTGGGATGCGCGGACTCGGATGGAGAAGACTCACCGTCGTTGTCAGTGTCACCAACGAGAAGCACTTATATTACTTACTTTTGTGGCCCACCTCCCCCAGCTCCGTGCTCCCTTCGCTTCTCCGTCGCTTTTTGCGTGAGCTTAGACGCTACCGCGCAGTGTCGACGCTGAACGCTGAACGTTGAAGTGGAGTCGGCGGGCTGCGACTCGAGAGAAGCGCTAAGCGCCTCAGCCACGACACGTCACGCGCGCTCGCCGGACTTCCTCTCGAGTTCGCCTTGCGATTCACTGTCCGTCCCTCCTCCCTGTCTGCTTCGCCGTCGCTTGCCCGCCGCCGACCTCCAGTACACGCAGGTGGGCCCGTCCGCAAAAGACGGCACGTGCATCGGACCACCGGACGGCTCAAGATCGTGTTATACGCGGCTGCGACGAGCTGAGACCGACTGAGACAGCAGTCAAGCGCTTGAGGCAGTCTGCCGTTCTACAGCTCGAACACGACGGGATCAAGCGCGAAAGGCCTCAGTCCAGACGGAGAAGTCACAGGAGTGAGGGGCAAGGACCAAGGCAAGGCAGAGACAAAAAGCGAATGTGAGTCGTCTATTGTGTACCTACTAACGACTTCTGTTGCTAGACACTACGTGCATTGACGAGCTTTATGCTCGTGATGCCTACTTCCCCACCAGCCCGCGCATCTAGCCCACCCTCTCACTCATTCACTCGCCCCCTCGCGCGCGCCCACCCACTCTCACCTCCAAGTTCCGCCCGGCCGCGCTCGCTCACTCATTCACCACTTGCCCAGCCGCGCTTGCCTCATCTCCTGCTCACCCGCTCATCCGTGGGTTGCGGCCGCAGGGTTAGCCAGTCAGGTGAGTGCACCGCTGTCCTCCCCGACCCCATTGCCAACCCCGGCAAGTGACAGTCCACCAGGACGACCGGACAGAGACGAACCCGACGAAGACGGCCCCGACCGGTTCGCTCGGTTCCAGCACCACGCGCGGTGTATCCTCTCCACCAACGGGCTTAACCGCTCGCCCGTCAACGTCTTCGTCTGGTGCGCACTCTCTGCGCGAACCGCGGGAAGCCGCTCCTCCCCCGCCTGTGCCGCACGGTCTCGTACGTCGACTCGGCGTTCTATGTGGACTTCCTGCTCCTCATCCCGTGGACGCCGCGCCACATCGACGTGCAGCATTGGGACAAGGCGTACGGCCCGAAGTACGAGATGTCAACGAAGACGAAGTGTGAGTACATGCGAATCCTGACGGCGCGCGACCAGCTGACGACACAAGCCTGCTTGCGTAAACCCGACAGTTATGCACCTGACAGGCCTCAACATACTGCGCACGGACCCACCAGCATCGAAGAGTTGGCCACCTACGGATACAGATCACGAACCGACGCGCACTGGTACGATTCGGGCCAGTTCGCTGTACATAGCGTGCCCAAGCCCGGTACGACAGCTCAACGAGCAGGACTCTGACAAGCAACAGCTCACCAGGCACCCGGCGTGGCGTGTAAGGGCCCGCTGAGCGACAGCCTGGCATGCCCAGCGCGAGGCGCATAGGGCCGTCAAGGGTGAGCATGCCGCGCCCCAGCCCGAGAAGGAGGCAGCCCACCGAGTACAAATGCAACAAGCGGGAGCAAAGCCTACCCCCCAACGCATCGGCCAGACGAACCCGCCACACGCAAGCTCGACACAAGCTCGACGCATGACGAGCACGAGCCAGCAAATCAACACACCTAGGCCCCCAAGTGCCAGGGTGTGCGCGAGGTCATGGAGCAGAGCCCGACGAACAGACCCTCGATGCGTGCGAGCCCACTGACAGTAGCTCGTACAAACCTATGGTAATGATTAGCATTATTCCAATTGTACAGCAGTAGTGATCCGTAGATTAATATATTTGATTGCCTCGATTTCGTATGACCTGGCTGATCTGACTGACGAACTGAGCAGTCTGACGGGTTGTCTGAGCATCCTGAGGATCCTGTCTGACGAGTTAGTGTCGAAAAAAATCGAGGTCATGAGGGCTGAAGGTCTGAATCAATCTGAAGCAATCTGAAGGTTTCTGAAGGCTTCTGAAGCCCCTGACACGGCCGTCAGACAGATTGCATGTATTCCTGATGTTCCAAGTAGTGAAGCCCTCTTGCAGAGAATTGCGCAAGAAACGCAGGCTGCTCTGGCGGTCAAGCCGACGATTCGGGAGAGCGGTTATGATGCAATACATGATGACAAACTCATAACAAAGGTATGGTACGTTGTGGTTGAGATGCTCCACGCTAAACTCCCTATATACAGGTGAAAAATGCGGTATCGCAGTTTCGGGGACGCTTCAAGGATGTTGCGGCTTATCTCCTTGTCGTTGTACACCCAGAGCTTGCCCCACCTGGACTTGATGTCCTCTGCGAGGACAGTCCATACGAGCTTGAGGAAGGCGTATTTGACAGGGAGGAGTTGTGCAGCCTTAGGAAGGATGTAATCTTGAGGCTGCTGTCAAATCGTCCTCAATCGGCTCTCATTCATAAAGTATCTGCTCCGAACTTCGCTGAGGTAAGATTTATCAACGTTGGAATACGATCCTACTCACATAAATCAGGCCGGCACAAGTGTCACGGTCACTGGCCTTTTTGAGGCAGGAAACCTCGTCCCGCACATCATCGACGCTGTTCTCTTCAAAAGACCTTCAAGCCTCGGTCATACCTTCGCCAACCTCTTTGTCAATGGCGTTCCAGACCCTGTATTCACACTTGCTGCGTGTGCAGTACTGTGCAGTGCAGACGAGCTCCGGACTGGAACGTACTCCCTCCGTAACTTCACACGAGAGGTCTACGAAGAATACGAGACGGGGATAGCTCAGTTGATTCGAGACATCAAGCAAACACGTCCGGATCTGGCTCGACGGTATGAGAATCTGTCCAAGAATATCGCTCAGCGTGGTAGGTGAGTATACACTCTTCATTCATCGTCAAGCCACCTACTACACAGTCTATTACAGCGGGTGGACGAGGGGGCCCATTGCAATTGCAGCTACGACATACGAGGGAGCCTGACGTTGAGCTTGGAATCCGAATGTACTACTAGATATCGAGCCGGTCTGACCGCTGTCGAATAGCGCACACTCTGCATGTATTCTACCACCAGTATCACGAACATCGTATACGCTTCGAGGTTCAAATGTTCAAGCCCGGGTACTAGGCTACGAATTGAACTGTTTTCCAAGCTCCTGACGGTGAGACTGTATAAGGTAACTCCAAGTTGCGCCGGCGTCACGGGTGGCTCTTGTCCTCAGCTTTGACCAGGCTTCAACCACTCCGCGCCAAAGGAAGAGACCCTCCTGAGCGCAGTGTCCTCTATCTGGCGGACTTGCTCACTTCGTCTTGTGTCCATTCACCGCTCATGCAGCCAGACCACTGGCACTTGCTAGTATCACCTCTGACGCACTGGTTTGGTCCACAACCTCTTCGCCCACCCTCTCACTCTCACCCTGCGACCGCGCAGTTCTCGCACTCCTCCGATGTCACCTCTGTCTCGCTCATCTCCATCTGGGAGCACAAGCTCACACTCCCCCACCTCTTCTGCACGTTTGTCCACTGCAAAGCGCCCTTCACCAACGCTACCGTTCTCTCCGCGAGGTGCAGCGCCTCCCTCCGACACTCCGAGTCTCCCCGCGCACCTCGGGCAGCACGTCTGCACGCTCTGGAAAGAGAGCATCAGTGCGGTGGTGCCCACGAGCAAAATGGACATCTTCCGTGTGTGCCCCGCCGTCGAGCACTTTGCCAGTGGAGAGTGCGTCGAACTTTCAAGAACCCAGCATGCGCCGCACCGCATTTGGTCCAAGTCCACGCCTACATGCCACCGCTAGCCTAGCCCTTGGTTGGACCGGCTAGCCAGCTGGACCCCAGGGTGGCATAGTAAAGCGTCCCTCCCTGGTTTGGACCGGCGAAAGCTGGACCCCAGGGTGGAGGCATTCACGGCATCAGGTCCGTGCAGATGCTCCGCAAGCATGCCAACACTTCTGGCCAACACCCAGAAGCTCTGAAAGGCCCCTCGCCGACGTCCATCATCAACTGGAGGTTGAAGGACACCATTGGAAGCGTTGTATAGGGTAAGTTCCTGATCTCTTACACATTCGCGTTCGCATTCACTATCCCTCTCTCGCCCGCTCTCACCTCCACGCGCGTACTGCCGTAAATGCCTGCCTGCCATCGCCCTCGCACTGTGACGCCTGCCTGCCCTCGCCCGCTCTCGCCGACTTGCCCACTTTCGCCGACTTGCTCACTCTCGCCGACTTGCTCGCTCTCGCTGACTTGCTTATTCTCGCCGACTTGCTCGCCCGTTATCGTCCACCGTTTCCCTCTCGCCTGCCCGGTTTCCCGCTCGCCCTCCTTTGTCCACGCTCCCTTGTCTGACGCCCACTCGTCCACGCGCCCTCATTCCCGCGTCTGCCCGACTTGCCTGCTCGTTTGCTCGCCCATTCTTGCTCGCCCATTCTTGCTCGCCCATTCTTGCCCGCCTGACCGCTCCCACTCGCCTGCGCTCACCTTCTCGTCCGTAGTCGCGCACAATGCCTGTGCATGGCGAAGGATTAGGACGCCTCCGCGCACAAGCCGGAGGCCTGTCGCTGAGACTCAAGCGAGCAAACCGAGCTCATCGGTGCGGTCGTCGTGATGTGCATGTCTACGCACCGCGACCAGTTTGTCCACGGCCAGTTCAAGAGGCACGCGAAGGAGGTGAGCCCCGCGGCCTCCCCCTGCCCCACCAGCGACACGTACTGACCCGCACGCAGCTGACGCACATTATTGTCGAGAAGGAGAGGAAGTCCGCGTCCTACCGTGAGGGCCGCCTCGATGCGCTCTTGGACGAGAAGGCGGGCAAGGTCAAGAAGTTCGCGAAGGAAGACCCTCCGCAAGGTGGACAAGAAGCGGCGCGAGGCCCGCCTCCGCGTCCCGTCGTCCGCGCAGCCCGCCAGCTCCGCGTCCCTGTCCATGCTGTCCCCCGTCCGTGTCCAGTGAGGGCGGCGCCGCGGCGGCCTGGCGGTGTCATTCTGCGATGGCTCCGATATGCGTCAACGCTTGAGGAGCAGCTTCACCCGCCGTAGGCTCGGCAGGTCGCGGACGCCCAATATGGGCGAGAGGGCTTGGTACATGTCTGGCAGGAGTGACCGCGATGGAGACAAGCACTCGTGAGTTGTGTGCAGCTCGGTGCTCTGATCCAAGAAAGGGGCCACTGGCTGGCAGGCGCAGTCGTGGGGAGAGAACTCACGACGAGCCTGCCATGTCATCTACGAGAGTTCTACGAGAGTGGATATGTGTATTGTGCCTTTGTCACTAGGATACGAAAAGTGTATTGACGTCCTCGCTATGAAACTTGCTCTGCTACTACTACTGCTATTACATATTGTACACTGAAGTGGACTGGTCGTGTTTTGTCTGGAACCCTACACCGCTGTGTGACCTGCGCCTGTCCTCACACCGTGTGGCGTGCAGTGTATTCGATTCGATTTCCACATTAGCTTGCATTATCTCACTTTGCTACGATTACATGGGTGTGCAATAACTTGCAAACAATTGGAATGCCGATAACAAATCCGTTAGGGTTGTCAGCGTTGCTCGAATCTCCATCCAATCGGAAACCACTCCGGCCTGCTTCCCATGATCGAGTCGGACTGCCAATGCATTTGCAATTCACCGACTTTGCAGATGTCTGGCGGGCCCTCGCCAACGCCTCACCCCCGTTCTCAGCCTCCCACTGTCCATGGTCGCTGGAGCCTGTAATAAAATCCTGCCTGGGCGGGGCGTCGAGGGATCGCGGTGCGATAAGAATAGTGTCGAACGAGGTACGGTGCCCTGATCTATAGATAGAACGACTCGCAGGCTCACTCCACAGGGCCCGCATCACTTGCACCTGCACGTCTCGCTGCGATGCGGCTTTGGTGCTCGCGCCCAGGCATGCCAGCTACATACAGCGCGCCGGTCGGATGCTCTGAACTCGGAGTCAAACACGCTCAGGCAGCGACGTGCGAGACTGGCACCGCTACCTCCGCTTTCTTCCTCTCGTCAGCCCTGTCCAGACGGCGCGGAAATGGCTGGGACTGCACTCGTGCATACTGCGGCCTCGCTCTTCGGTTACTTGGGGGATCTGCAGGACGCCCAGGAACGACCCCAGCTCGCCACTGACCCGCGAATATTCCAGGCTCGTAGGACCGGCCTTCTCCTTCTCCCAGCTATGGCGGGCTGGCACTCGCCGGGGGCGATACGCTGGTGGACTTCCCCGGGCCCCCGCGGCTGAACTGGAGAGGGCGCGGTGACCCTCCGCTGCGCTCCTGCGACGTTGCTTTGATGTTCGCCTCGGATGCATGCACGCGCTCGCGGACGGCAGGTCGGCAACCGAGCAACCGAGCAACAGGAAACTTGAAGGCGCGAAGGCGGAGGGACTCGGCCGTCGCGGCTTTTGCTCCCCGCTCGCCCACCTATACTGAAGTTGACATCCGCCCGCGACGCCCCGGAGCCGGCGTCGGCCACCCTCGAGCACGGCCTCCTGCCGCGCACCGCACTACATAACTTGCTCCCTCCCCGGGCTCGCCCTTCGCAGCGAGACCGCGCAAGCTCACGCGCGGCGTCGTCGGGCCGGGGAAGGCTCTACGCTTTCGTATACCCGGGAGGACAAGTGCGCCGGCGGCAGCCGTATCAGTCCGCACTCTGAATCCGGGGCGTACATACGAGACGCGCCTCATCTAGGGGTCCGGAGGTGTTCCCGTACGTGGTGTGTGTATGCCTGTGGGTGGGCGTCGTCTGTCGGACCCGAAGCACCGCACGGGCGGGGCTGGGTCTGAGAACGGGTCTGCGCACCTGGGTCGTGATGCAGATGCCGCAGCCCGCCTCGGAGTCCTACCACGTACATACGTACGTGTACGCCGATGACTTGTGTGTGAACTTGTGATTTCATGCGTCCACTCGCGAACGGGTGTCTCCCCGACTGCGACTGGCGACTGGGCCACCACGGAAGCATCTCACTCAACCAATGTGGAAGCGGCCGCTCGGCTGTAGATAGGTTCTACCCTCGCGATACGTGTCTGGCTCCCCCTCACCAAAGAGACGGCTCCACCGTGTTACGCCGCCGAGGGGAGGGCATAAGTACAAGAACCCACGATCAGCCTGCGGCTGACGCGTCGCCCTATCCACGACTGATGGCAGGAAGACACGGGGATCGAGCAGTGTTGCCGCGGGCCAGCATCGACACTCGACTCCGACCCGCGGCAACATTCCTCGCCGGCCAGTCCGAGTCCAGGGAGGCGGTCATGCACCGGGGAACCGTCGACGGGGAGGCCGAATGTCAGTACTTCAGTGGGGGCTGTGGTCACAGACGCACGCAAGCGCTCGCCCTACATGTGGGCTGTCGGTGCTTACGCGGATGTGTGGTGGGATTGACTTTGCTGAGACGCAACACGGATGCTGTATGACAGCCTGGACGGAGTCCTTGGGTGGGGGTTGTAATGGCGCAGTCGATTGTCTCCGCTGCCGGGCAAGGAGTCGGTCTCGGACGAACGCCTCGCGCCTGAGGAACGTGCTCGGGGATGCCTGTCGGTATGAAGTAAGAGCTTGCGTCGGCCGCCACTGTGCACAGACAACCACAGGAGAGCGGTCCATACGTACTCCGAGTGTGCGTCTGACCATACGATCACTCGATCGTGCGTCTCTGCATCGCCCCGGCAGGCCTGTCGTCTGTTCAGAGTCATTCTGTCGGCCTGCGCCGATGCAAACTCTGCTCTGGTTAGGTAGCGAGGGGGGGTGATGAGTAAATCATCGAACATAATCCTTGTCAGCGATGTATAGTATGATCACAGAGCGAACGTGAGGCATGACATCACACATTCTGTTGTCAGAGAACAGCTGGAATGCCTCGAGAGGTAAGGAGGGCTTGGACCAACGGAAGACGTACGAAGACGCGAGTCGACGCTGTGATATACCCCGATCAGAGTTCATCGCAATGTGCGCTTACCATCTGATAATGTAGCCCGCGCTCGCGGTGATGTCTTCGTTGTCGTCGACATCGCCTGCAGGCTCCAGAGTGAGGTAGCAGCACTCGACAGGTGATGACATGTAGGACTGCAGTCTCCGACCACCGTGAGGCAAACCTTTGAATGATGCAAGACTCGCCGTGCACGAGCAGGTTGGCGATGACACCATGAGTCGAGTGTCTAGAGCGAGTCGTAAGCCAGAGGATTAGTACTAACCTCGTCCAAAAACCACTCACGGGGGAAGGAAAGCGAGAAAGAGAGAGGGGGAGCGATAGCCCTCAGAGTCCCATGAGTCGTCCTAGCAAGCAAGAGACAAAAGCAAAAGGACCGGAAACCGCGCCCTACTTATCCCCGACTCCGAACTTGAAGGTCCGACCTTCCTGGAGGAATGTCGGTAGGCTGTCGTGAAAGCACGCGTGTGCGTGCCTCGATCCGAAGCTCGCAGAGTGAAGAGGGAGAGCGCGGATTGCCTGGGCAGAAAGGATCGAGGTTTCTGGCCCTTGATGACACCGGACGTGGACGAGGATGGGGTCATGCGGGTGGGATGTAGTGTATTGAGTATTAGCAGACGGGCTTCAGAGGCCGGCAAAGACTCGCCTGGGTACCGCAGAGCACGAAAGAGGATGATAGCGACTCGGGAGACTCAGGAGGTGAGACCGTTTGCTGTCGTAAACCCGCGTTTGAATGCTTTGATTCGTACAAGGATCCGAGAAATGGAAAACAAGCATGCATGTGTTGGAACACCATGTCCCTGGAGGACACTGACCGCGGAGGTTGAGGGAGTTGTGCGGGACTGCATACGGGGCTGCAGTCTTGTGTTGGATATTGAGTAGACTGGGCTCCTGAGGCCGCCGAAGGCGAGTCGAGGCACAGGAGAACCCGCGCACAGATAGCCATGATATAGTGGTTGCTCGGGATTCTGTGTGAGGCACGCCTATGACTGAGGTGGATCAGTCATTGCATACTATGAATAGGAAAAAACGAGCGCGGGCACCGAGTGCCAAGTACTTGCAATTTCATTCTGAGTCGGACCAAGAACGTCCGGGGATGCTGTAAAGATACCATACAACTATTCCTGGTGTCGAACCAACCACGAGTACGACGACTGCGTTGAGGACGACGATTGTGCGCCGGGGATCCTCGCGCCACGAAGACAGCGCTTTGCCCTGCCAAATATGCCCAGGTATGCCTTGTATATGCCCAAGTACTCAGTCTATCAGCATCAACGAGAGCAGGATCAAGCACATCGTGTCCAGATCGGGTCCATCTGGCTCTCATGGCGGTGCTAATGTCCGGGGAATATATACGTATTAAGCTTGTCATCAGTGTAGTTCGACGTAAGGATAAATACACTCACGAAACAATATAGCACACGAGTCGTTGACACGAGCACATTGGGCAAGGATTATTGAAACTCTGCGACGCCACTGGGCGCCGTATATGCCAGTGGTGGTTCCGAATAAGGCAGGAGGGTTGGATTTGCTTCAGCTCGGGGGCGGTGGCGCCAAATCTGCATCTCCGAGCGCCTATACACGTCAATCATCTCTTGTCTCATACGCTCATCCCAGTCTTGATATTTTCCTCTCTCGTTGGACCCCGAGAATGGCACTGTGACCTCCGTGAAGCGGTAAGCGCTAGCTGAGGCTCTTCATTCAAGTTACCACTTGCCCAGTAACTCCCTGCCGGCTTGGATGGCCTTCATCTGATCCGACGGGGTGGGCGGTCGGAGGTGTGAGTACGTACCCCGTCGAGTCACTGCGAGAGATCATCGTTCATTCTTCGCCGCAGATAAATGCATTTGACAGTTCGTGTGTAATCGGAAACGAGCTAAGAACAAGAAGACCCTGCAATGAGAAGATCTGTCATCCATTTGCACCGCCTACAGCCAACGATATCAGCACACCTCGCCCAGCCCGGTCGTGGATCGTAGGTCATGAGTCTCCTTGTGGGCTTGTTCAGGACCTCGAATGGCTGTTTCATATCGTTATTGGTGCTCAAACGGGTTAGCCTGTGCGATGATTAGCATTACATCCTCGTGTCGTCAGCCTTTGATAGAGCTGATTCTAGGGCCCATCAGCGGATACGTGATGAACCGACCAACGCAGAAATATCCTTCACAACGCACAAGCCGAGTGTCCCTGGCCCACGCGGTTCTTGATACCGTACAGACACCTCCTTGGCGACGGATTTGGCTCCCCGCCTGGACGGGGCTTCTCGCTGTGCGCCTCGCACGCGAGTATAATAAGCACATCCACCGAGGGAAACTCTTCGTGGTCCAGCGACCCTCACCTCCAGGATGTCGCTCTCCACTCGCCTGGCCGCTCTCCTGGCCCTCGTCCTCTGCGCCGTTGCCATCCCCGCGCCCGTCGGCCATGTCGTTCACGAGGCACGCGACCACCTCCCGCGCGGATGGGCCCCCGTCCGGCGCGCAGAACCAGACATGGTCTTGCCCTTCCGCGTCGGCCTTGTGCAGCCCAACCTGGAGAGCATCGAGGAGTATATCATGGACGTCTCCCACCCCGACTCGCCTAACTACGGTAAGCACTGGAGCCCCGCCAAGGTCGCGTCGACGTTCCGCCCGACGAAGGAGTCCGTCGACACCGTGCACGGCTGGTTCACCGAGAGCGGCATCGCGCCAGAGCGCGTAAAGTCGAGCACGGGCGGGAGCTGGATGAAGGTGAACGTGACGATCGAGGAGGCGGAGCGACTGCTTGGCACGGAGTACTACGTCTACCAGTTCGGTGAGGATGGCAGCCGCACGCACGTCGCGTGCCACGAGAAGTACCATCTTCCGGATCACGTCTCGAAGCATGTCGAGATCGTTTCGCCCACTCTTCACTTCGATACTACGCCCAATGGTCCGGCTGGCTCGTGGCAGAAGCTCGGTGGCAGGGACTCACCTTCGACTGAGTCCTCCCACGCCATTGGCCAACCCGGGTTCGGTATCAGCTTCCCAAAGACCAAAGGTACTGTTCAGGTAGCTAGTATGTCTGATGATGCTTTCGACATGTTCAATGACGTCCTTTACAGAGTATTTTCGACCAGCTGGAGAACTGCGATGAGCAGATTGTCCCGAACTGCCTCCGTGCGCTGTATGACTTTGAGTACTACCCTCTCGTCCCGGAGAAGAACTCGCTTGCTATCAGTGAGTATGCATCTTCTAACTCGCACCACATGCCACTAATTGGCCCATATAGTCGAGTACACTCCTCAGGCATACGTCGCGAGCGATCTGGACCTGTTCTTCAGCAACTTCTCGCCCAGCCAAGTCGGAGAGCGTCCTGTGCTCTACAGCATCGACGGAGGCTACGTCCAGACCGACTTCGGAGGTTTCGACTACAATGGCGAGTCCAACCTCGATCTGCAGTACGCCATGTCGCTCGTCGGCTCGCGGCAGTCCGTGCAGCTTTACCAGGCGGGCGACCTCTACGAGGGCGCGTCCTTCGGCAATCTCCTCGACGCACTCGACGCTTCGTACTGCACGTTCGATGGCGGTGACGACCCCGACTTCGACGCGACTTACCCGGACCCGTACGGCGGGTACGAGGGCAACGAGGACTGCGGCACCGTTTCGCCCGCGTACATCATGTCGACGTCGTACGGTTACACGGAGGCGGACCTGACACCGGCGTATGAGCAGAGGCAGTGCGCTGAGTATGCGAAGCTCGGCCTGATGGGTATAACGGTGCTCTTCTCGTCTGGGGATAACGGCGTTTCGGGCAATGGTGGCGTCTGCTTGGACGCTGACGGCCAGGAGGACTACGATGGAAACGTGTTCGCCCCGGGCTTCCCCGTAGACTGTCCGTACGTCACTGCGGTCGGAGCGACGCAGGTCAATCCGAACGCTACGGTGCGTGCGCATAGCGTCCTGAGGTGTCGTCCAGTGCTGATCCGGATTCGTAGGTCTTCGAGCCCGAGAGTGCCTGCGAGCAGGTCATCTACTCTGGTGGCGGCTTCTCGAACGTCTTCCCGATGCCATCGTACCAGGCCTCCGCGGTTGAGCACTACCTGACCAACTACCCGCCTGCCTACCCTTCCGGCACCTACAACGTCTCTGGGTCACGTGCGTACCCTGACATTGCCGCGAACGGGTGAGTTGCAGTCTCTCGCCATGTCGCATTGAACAGATAAAATGACGCATGGCTGCTCAGTGCGAACTACATCGTTGCCGTGCAGGGCGAGTTCTACCTCGTCTACGGCACCTCGTGCGCCTCGCCCGTCTCCGCGGCGATCTTGTCCGCGATCAACGACGCTCGTATTGCAATCGAGAAGTCGCCGATTGGGTTTATCAACCCTACGGTACGTCAGCCCATCATGGATTGACTACTCTGTGTGATTGCTCATGTGCACGGTAGATCTACACGCCCTTGTTCATGGAGGCGTTTAACGATATCACGACCGGCTCCAACCCGGGCTGCGGCACGGAGGGCTTCTACGCCCAGCCAGGGTGGGACCCCGTGACGGGTGTGGGCACACCGAACTTTGCGAAGCTGCTCGGGCTTTGGCTCGCTCTTCCGTGATACTGGACACGATTCTTGCTGGACTTGTGCAACGGACTTATGACTCGAAAACGTGTGGATTATTGGTAGCATGTGGTGCGTGGTGGTCCTTCCGAGTCTCGACGATAAGAGACAAGGACTTCGGACTTCTTGTGTGTGTGGCTTCGCGAGTTCTTGTATGAATGAAGGTGAGTTAATGAAATCACGAGATCATATTGAGTTCGTGACTATGCGCCTTACAACTCGGGTACGTAGACTAATATTGAAAGCCTCATCCTGTGTTCGATACTGAAGGTTGTTGCGAAGGAGTACAGTGACGGCGTAGCGCCTTGTTCGCGAGACGTAGGTTTTTTCGGAGCATCCGCGCGAAGGCTGACGATCGCCTCGCTGATATGGCATGCCCATTGCCCACAATGTTTGCTATCAAACCTTGTAACACTGAAAGGCAAAGCTTGTTCTGAACACTGGCACGACGACCTATGCTTCCACGCCCACCCACTCATAAACTGGGGCCCAGTACGTGCGCACGTTCCCAGCCCCTCGCCCTCTCCACCCTCCTGTCGGCCCTCGGGCGTTGCGATGTCCCAGAGTCCTGCTGAATGCCAGGTCGCGGGCGACCCCTTCAATAAGCCTAATGCCGACATCGCCTTGCAGACGTCGGACGATGTCCACTTTTACGTGCACTTGGTCGTCCTCGGACTGACATCCGGCTTTTTCGAAGGCATGGAGAAGCTTCCCCAGCCTGCCGGCGGCAGCGAGCGGGCCATCATCAAGGTCTCCGAAGACAGCGCCACGTTGGATGCGCTCCTCCGCTTCATGTATCCCTGCGACAATCCGGCCATAGACGATGTCATGCGGATCGGGGACATCCTGCGGGCTGCGGTCAAATACCAGGTGGACGACGCCGTCAAGCACTTGAAGAAACAGCTTTCGACGTTTGACGACCCGCTCCACGTCTTCACCGTCGCCTGCCTCGCTGATCTCGAGGACCTGGCATACCAGACCGCCATCGAGTGGTGTCAAGACGGCGCATTCGACCTCGAGGACACGTATGTACAGGAGATGGAGGCTCTTCCAGCTGGGACGTACTTCCGTCTCCTTTACTTCTGTGACGCTTTCAACCGAGGAGACGAGATCGCGGAGCATTGTTGCTTCACGCAGCCGCCTAGTGCCTCTGCCAGCCCTTCGGAGCCGTCGGAGACCTTCATCGTGCCCTCCCCATTTGATCGACCATCCGCACACGCAAATATCATCGTACGCTCGGGCGACAAAGTCAACTTCTACGTAAACGAAGTCATTCTTACCCAGTTCCCGAGCAAGCTGGCGGTTCTCTTGCACGACGCCCGCAACAGCAGTCGTAAATCGCACGATGGCTACCACGTCCTGGATCTCCCTGAGGACGCGGCTTTCCTCCTTCCTCTACTCCAGCTCACCTATCCGGGACCAAGCCCTCATTTACGTGACTGGCAAGTGCTCACCGCCGTCCTCGAGACAGCATACAAGTACGAGCTGGTGAGGGCTGCAGAGCTCGCAAAGAGCGCATGGTCGAAGGAGATCAAGGCCGAACCTGTGCGGTCGTACTTCGTCGCTGTGGAGCACGGCTGGGAAGCAGAGGCGCGGCTCGCAGCGAAGTGCGCGCTGCTCTGCCCCGAGGACAAGTACTACCCGGAGATGGAGCTCGTCTCCGCGAGCCATTACGACCGTTTCCTGCGATACCGCCAGCGATGCCGACGGAGCGTCATCGACGCGCGCCGTGCCTTCATCGACGACGTGTACATGCCGGGCTCGTCCATCGAGCAGAGGGAGGTATACGACACGTTCTGGCACAAGCACGACTGCTCGAATATGTTCCATTACACGTTGCATGCTACGTGGGCGCGTGCGGGTGCGACGAGTCCCGGCTTGCGCTCGAGCCTGTGGTCGATGGCTGGCTCGATGCCACAGGAGTTCGGGCTTGGAGGCGAATGGCCGATGCATATGCACCAGCTTATGTCGTGTTTGAACGCATGGAACGGGCGCAATGGAGACCTCCTCGAGCTCATTCACAACTACGACAAGTGCGGCGGTCAGGCTATGAACGCTGTCGACCAGGTAAGCCCATAGTTGATTGATTATTCTGAAGGTTACTGTGCATGCTCACGTGCTTGATACAGTTGGTCCTTGAAGTTTGACGTGCTATTCGTCGACACGTACATTCTGAGACGCGATAGCCGGGACATTCTGCTAGCAGTGCTGCGAGGAGTGCGAGAATTCATCGAAGTCGCTGAGACACGGGGGCCACCCACCGTGGGGCCGCTGACGTGGGGCGTCCGTGCCTCTGCGATGTTTCGATGAGTCTGTCTTTCCTTCCCCCGATGTAGTTCTGCTAGCAGGGTCCTGCTTAGTTCGCATCTTATTGCTCAACGTCACTTCCGATTATCTTGCTTACTAGTAGCTACCGCATCCTGAGTACCTCGCACTGTCACCTCACGACGGATTGTACGATATGCATGGGTTACGTTGGCACTCCAACGGCAATACGCAGGGCTCAATTGGTTTCACAACTTGAATGAACACCGTTAGTGACAGCGCTGCCATCGACAGTGGAGGAGTCAACCGGGACCCATGCTGGACGGTCCAGGAGTCCACAGCCAACCCAGCTCTTAGAGACTATGCAATCGTCACGGCTACCTTAACTAGTGGGCTATGTCCCTGCAAGTGCACTGATGAGGCGCACATTCGCTTACAGCAAATTCTTGCGAGATGTTGAGATGCGGCCATTACATGGGTTCAACTTACCGATCGCAAAGCCAGTTGAATTGAGAAAGATGGTTTGGGTTAGAAGTCATGCAGAGCGTGGAGACGGTCCAAGTGACTGCTATATAGCAGCTACGTTGTGTCTAGCCAGTTCACAAAAAAACGCACGCATAAGCCCCGATGCCAGTCCGAGTCCCAACCGAAGCGAACGACAACACCGTGCAATACAGTCATATTTCCCCATGTTCCACAACGATCATCGTTCGAGCCCAATTCGTCAATGTCATCCGGTGCGCACCCTGGAGCAATCACGGAAGCGCGAGCCAGAGCGCGAGCAGCTTCACAAAGTTTGGTGTGCCCACACCCGTCACGGGGTCCCATCCAGGCTGGGCGTCAAAGCCCTCCGTGCCGCACCCAGGGTTGGAACCGGTCGTGATGTCGTTGAACGCTGCCATGAATGCAGGGGTGTAGATCTGCCACACGTATGAACAATCAGACAGCAGTGAGTAGGCAGCAGGTGCACGTACCGTAGGGTTGATGAACCCGATAGGCGACTTCCCGATAGCGATGCGGGCGTCGTTGATGGCAGAAAAGATCGCAGCGGAGACCGGTGTCGCGCAAGACGTGCCGTAGACGAGGTAGTACTCGCCCTGTACGGTGATGACGTATCTTGCACTTTGACACCCCGCATTCAATAGGCAAGCTGATGCATGGTGACTGAGACGACTCACCCATTTGCGGAAATATCAGGATAGGCACGCGATCCGGAGGCGTTGAAAGTACCAACGGGGTAGTCGGGCGGATAGTTCGTCAGGTAGTGTTCGACAGCAGACGCCTGATAAGACGGCATTCGGAATACGTTTGAGAAACCACCTCCCGATTGGATCATCTGCGCGCAGGCGCTCTCAGGCTCGAGGACCTGTGCACAAGGATCAGCTATACACGGCATGCGAGAGCGCAGCGTCCACATACGGTAGAGTTCGGATTGACCTGGGTCGCGCCGACCGAGGTGATGTACGGGCAGCCGGCGGGGAACCCCGGCGCAAATACATGGCCAAACCAGTCCTCCTGGCCACTGGCGTTCAAGCAAGCTTCGCCGTTACCCGCAACCCCATAATCACCTGACGAGTAGAGCACCGTAACACCCATCAGCCCGAGTTTCGCGTACTCCGCGCACTGCCTCTGCTCATACGCGGGAGTCAATTGGACCTCCGTGTAGCTGTACGACGTCGATATGATGTGCGCCGGCGAGACAGTACCACAGTTCTCGCTGCCCTCGTACCCGTCGCCGTACGGGTCCGGGTACGTCGGATCGTAAGTCGGATCGTCGCCGCCGTCGAACGTGCAGTACGAGGCGTCAAGCGCGTCGAGCAGGGTGTTGAACGATGCGCCCTCATTGAGGTCGCCCGCTTGGTAGAGCTGCACTGGTTGCCGTGGGCCGACGAGCGCCATGGAATACTGCAGATCGAGGTTGGACTCGGCGCTGTAGTAGTAGCCGCCGTAGTTGGTTTGGATGTAGCCCCCGTCGATGCTGTTGAAAACGGGGCGCTGCCCGACCTGGCTGGGCGAGAAGTTGCCGAAGAACATGTCGAGATCGGTGGCGTTGTATGCCTGCGGAGTGTATTCGACTAACATAGATGCTGATCAGCGGTGGGTAGGGCAGCGGAGAATAGGCAATTCCTACCGATCGCAAGCGAGTTCTTCTCCGGGACAAGAGGGTAGTACTCAAAGTCGTATAGAGCGCGGAGGCAATCGGGAACGATCTGCTCGTCACAGTGCTCCAGCTGATTGATTACGTTCTGAACGGTACCCTGGGTCTTTGGGAAGCTCGTACCGAATCCGGGCTGGCCAACCGCATGCGCAGAATAATTCGGGTTCGAAGTCTCGTTGTCCCTGCCACCAAGCTTCTGCCACGAGCTAGCAGGACCGTGAGGCGGTGTATCGAAGTGGAGGGTGGGCGAAACAATCTCGACATGCTTCGAGACGTGCTCCGGAAGATGGTACTTCTCGTGGCACGCGACGTGCGTGCGGTTGTCATCCTCGCCGAACTGGTAGACGTAGTACTCCGTGCCCAGCAGTCGCTCCGCCTCCTCGATCGTCACGTTCACCTTCATCCAGCTCCCGCCCGTGCTCGACTTCACGCGCTCCGGAGCAATGCCGCTCTCGGTGAACCAGCCGTGCACGGTGTCGACGGACTCCTTCGTCGGGCGGAACGTCGACGCGACCTTGGCAGGGCTCCAGTGCTTACCATAGTTGGACGAGTCGGGGTGGGAGACGTCCATGATGTATTCCTCGATACTCTCCAGATTGGGCTGCACGAGGCCGATGCGGAAGGGGAGGACCATGTCGGGTTCTGCGCGCCGGACGGGGGCCCATCCACGCGGGAGTTGGTCGCGTGCCTCGTGAACGACATGGCCGACGGGCGCGGGGATGGCGGTGGCGCAGAGGGCGAGGGCCAGGAGAGCGGCCAGGCGAGTGGAGAGCGACATCCTGGAGGTGAGGATCCGCTGCTTCAGGGATTAATGAGATTGTTTTATACTGTTTCTGTGCTTACGCCCGTGCGAGACACATACCGGGTAGCCAAAGGGCGGTCTTGAAGAACCGCGTGTGCAAGGAACACTCGACCTGTATGATATTGAAATCCAAAGAGGGATCACTCTTTGTGTGATAATTAGCCCATTACGTATCTGGATGACGAGCCCCGAGCCTGACACTGACGGTACATGCAGATAGTGCCAAATATTGCAAAGGCTAGCCTGCTCGAGCACCAGCACCGGCGTAGAACACCCGTTCAAGGGACTGTTACCGGGGAGTAGACATTCCAGCCGCTCATTCCTTCAGATGGAGCTATGCGAGGTGTGCACAATGCACTGATATCGTGGGTGGCGCAAACGAATATTGGTGTGACCGATCTTCCCATTCAATTGCAGGGTCGCCTTGATCTCCGCGCGTTTACAATTCAACACAGTCTGTAAAGAGCGGTCAGTTAAAATCACAAATCATTGAGCTTTTGCTGACGCGAACTCACACCTATTAGTACGCCAGTCCTACCGTGGCCACGCACCACCAGTTAGGCCTCAGGATGCATTCTGTAGTTGAGTACATGCAAGACCAGTACACGCTCACGGTATATAGTATTACAGCTGTCGCATCAGCCATCTTTGCGTGAGCCGGAAGGAAGCCAGTATGAGAGACTCGGAGACGGTGGAAGACAAGCCTGAGCCAGCCTGAGCCAGCTCGATTGAAGGATGGCATCTAAGCGCCCAGTGGCGGCAGATCGAGATCTCTAGATCTCGCCGCCAGTGACCGGCGCTGGGCGCTGCTGGGCGACCGCCACCACCAAATTTTGAAGCTTGGGAAGCAGATACAACACATTGTTTGTCTTAATGATAAGCGCAACGAATACATTCGTCATAGCACGAGTGAGCCCAGGTAAGCCCAATCAGCGCCTCAGCCAGACTCTTCATCGGTCTGACCGGCAACACGACTTTCAGTGAATATCTCTGACTAGGAAGAGAATATATGCCCTTTCGTTCCATTCAGGATGCACGGCCGGTATGCCGCCCTCAGTGTTTGCTGAGAGGCGCTGCGGAGCAAAGTATGTGAACGCGGGTTTACGACGGCGATCATTCCATGTCCTACCATCGTCTTTGAAGTCCCTGCTCATCTTGCAGCACCTTGATGAGTCTTTACCGGTCTCCGATGCCCGTCCCTGCTGATGCGAATGAATGTAGATCATCAAAGGCTTTCAAAACGATATCTCATGACTTCTCCCTCATCCGTACCGGTCCCAGCAAGGGGTACAAGTTCACGGAGCTAGGCACAGTTGAGGCACACGGAGCGGACCAAGAGCGGACTCAGCGCTTCGTGTAAAGTGCATTTAGAGCAGGTCGTCTGTGGCTTGTCTCTGACGAGTCGTCCCGTTGTGTCTGGATCGTGAATATCACAATTCTGTCAAGACTAAACGCGTCTCGATCGCGAGCATCGCCATTCTGTCACGACCAAGTGCGTCGACAATCACGTACATCAATACTTATGAGTCCGGTGGTTGTAACACTTGCACTTGATCGGCGTGCAAACCTTCAATGTCGCAACGTTGTGGCACCGTCCTGCTCGGGATATCCGACTCGATCCCGAGCGACTCGCCCGGCTTACAGTACCATCACTCTGCAGGCCTCAATGCGGTCCTAGTGGAGATCACGTGTGGATAGTTCCGAGTCTACTTCACATACGTGTTGCTAAGACACAGTGACAAGAGGCGACCCGGATCCAAGGTTGTACGCCGGCAATACACTCGACCATGATTGTTTATGCTGCCATCATCAGGAATATTGGCAAGACATGAATTCACGGCCATGCGACCGTAAGCGATGGATCGCACTTCCAACGGTCTATAAAGAGGGTGCACGATGAACTGCAAGTCGAGTCTGGCTGGTCCTCCTCCTACTGCATTAATCTTCTTTTCTCTTTCCTTCTCTTGTCTTTTATCTTCTTTGTTCTCATCTTGGGTTTCTTTCGCATCATTGACGATCTTTCCATGAGGCTCCTTCTTTCCTCGTTGATTGCTTTATGCATTACAGCATGGGCTGCACCGGTCCTCCAGGGCACGGTAAGCATGGAATAGACTGACCAAAAATTTGATTCGTGCGCTGACTTTTTGTGTGAACAGTCTGAGCTCGCAGTCCGCGACTTTTGGCCGCGTGCGCCACGTATGTTCTGCTCGGTCATGCCTAAGCATCGCCGCATAACAGTTGGAACAATGTAGATGACATAGACCTGACACTTGACGGTCAGAAGTACAAGGTGCGGAAGAACGAATTGCAAGGCGTGCACGGCGTCGTCTATCAAGTCGTCGAGGGCAAATTTAAGGGCGGCTACGCAAAGACGAAGATTTCGGACGACGAAATCCATGCGACTTCCGACGTACGTCCCATTTCGCCTCGCTTGTGCACGATCAACAGGTCTACTTAGGTCGGCGCTCTGTGGAAGTTCGGTTTCGACGAACACCACGAGAAGTGAATCATCGTGAAGCCATCCCCAGGCAAACGGCTCGATCAAACGGCCGCGTATGCGCATGTGCGACACAACACGCAGCAATGTTGGGCGCTGCTGGACCGCGTCGTCGACGTCGCGACGGACGCAATCATGGAGACTTACCACCGCACTCACTGGCTTCACCAAGACCCCGTTTTGGGGAACGTCCTCTTCGACGACCAGGCCTCCAAAGCGTATCTCATCGACTGGGGAACTGCGTCGAGACCGCCTAGCGTGGTGAGTACAGCTTTCCGCACATGTAGCGACGAGTTGACTGACAGAGTCTGCCTCGACGCCGTGGTACACGTGAAGAACCGTGCTACTGTCAGACTAGCTGTGTCAGACATGGTGTTGGGCTCTGGTCTTTGCGGTGCGCGGCCTGCGGGAATGCGTCCGGGCCACCCTGTGTCGGGGCGGCCGCACGTAGAACACGTCCCCGCTCACCCGGGCCACTCTCCTCCTGCGCCGGGGCGGCCGCACGTAGAATACGTCCCCGCGCGCAGCCATTAGGGACGTTCAAAGTTGCGGGGGCTCTGGAGCTCGCTCTCCGGGAATGCCGTCAGCCGCGCGACCGTTGTGGTCTCGCCAGAAAGTTCAGCCACAGTGTGCTTATGCCATGTCACAGTGTGCGGCGGCGCGAGTACTACAAGGCCTATTGGACATTTAGGTTGGATATTCAAATATTCACTGCACTTGGGCACTTTGCAGTAGTCTTGGATGGAGGCGATTTCACGGTCTGGCACTTATACCCTTCCGACGTCACTGCACGAGGTTCTGAGGACGACGGTTTAGGGCTTCGACGACGCACTTACCCAACTATTAGGCAGTACAGCTTTGGTATAGCTCGTCCAACCCCGACTGCGCTACTAGTAGCGGCGAGAGCAACATGTCCCACATGGTGCTGCACCGGCATGCGGCGCGGCCACTCTCCGACCATGGTATTGATGAGGCCCGTCGCACGACAGCCTATCGAGAAACAACTCCTTTCAGCCGGTACTGATGCGCTGTAGACTGCGTCGACGGTCCTCATGCTGAATATTGTAGACATGCCGTCACTCGGCGCCTTCAGATGTGTCCTTCTCCTAGCCTATCCTTCACCCTACATTCGACATTACCTCCAACTATGAGTCACGCAATCATTTGGCCGACCTACGCGCTCTCGTGGTACCTGTACGTCTGCAAGTACATACATATTCGGTTCCATCGCCATCAGGCTACTTGTGAGAACAGCCGATCGAGGTGGTACCCCGTATGCAAGGTAAAAAAAATGAAAACGAAAAATACTGCCCCTTGGCCAGATTGAGCAACCGATCTCACCACTTTGTAACGTCGTCTGCCTGCATTGCGCAGATAAGATGGTTTTACGCGTCGTGGTTGCGCGTGCGCAGGTGGTCGTGGCGGTGGTACGCACGGACGCAGGTAAGTATTTGGTGGCGCAGCCGGGGTCGTGGTGGCGGGACAGGGTGGCGTGGGAGTCACTGGGACTGGGGCGCATAGATTGCGTCTATGTACTGGGATGCGATGTATAGCTGTTATTCGCACTGGTTGGTGATGAATACATACAGGTGCTCGATCACCAGTTATGGCGCAATTGATTACGGTCAGGCTCGGACTCGTAGATAGGTCCGAGTTAAGTGGATGCGAGTGGAATGAACTTGAATATGAGGTGAGCGAAAGAGAGAAGATGTGTGTGGGGCGCAGCCCGTAGGGCTGCCCGACTCGAAACGTGTGCCCGGACCTGCGGGGTAACGGGTGAGCTGCGATACCCACATGGAAGGCGACTACGGCGGCGCGTTGCTGCGAAGCTGTTACCCCCATCTAGAAGACGACGTACCATGTCGCTGATGCTCGGCTCTGCTTCCGTCTAGCGCGGCGGAGGCATCGCATAGCGGGTGACCTCGTTGTGCAATGGTGCATCCTGGAGATACGGCGCCATGATGACCGCATGCTTGCGCAGGTAAAGCTTGAAGCTTTCCCCGCTCCAGCGCCCGATCGACTTTACCACGTCGAAAGGTACACCCCGGAGTAGGTACTCCAAGGTGGCTCCGATGCGTATGCCGTGCCCCTTCATTGCGGGCAGGCCCTCCAGGGTCGTGATTGCGTCGAGCCTCTTTAGGAAGTCGCTGCGCGTGAGTGGTCGATGGCCGTCTCGATGCCGCCGCGCGAAAAGCGGCCCCTGCGCAGGCGGCTGGTTGACCTGTAGGTGGTTCGCAAAAGCAGCCGCCGGGTCTAGCGTGCCTATCTGTGCAGCCCAATACACGTCCTCGCCCTGCTCCGATGCGACTTTTGTGCTGGGGAGGTGGAACACCGTCACTTTGTGACCGTGCCTGTCCTGGTCATAGGTGACATCTGCTGGTTTGACGTGCAGATTGGGCCTGAACGAGTGGAGTGTTTGGCTGACGAACTCACCTAGCCGCGCGGCCGTGAAGAACGTCGTTGTGAGGCACGCAAACACCGCCGCGTCGAGCGGCAGTGCAATGTCGAGGTGCTTGCGTAGGGTGAGCAACAGCGCCAGCGTGACTGGATCGCGCTTGGGGCGTTTCGATGCTGGCGGCGCGAGTTTCTCTGCGCCTTTGAGCGCTGTGCGCAGCTCGGCGTCCTCTGTGTTCCACGCCAGCCCGTGGAGCACATGCCATGCATGCACCCCGGCGACGTAGTTCCGCAGGGTGGCTCCGCTATACAGCCCGGCGCATCCTGCAATGAACGCTAGGATTAGTCCCCGATCTGCTGGTCCCCGCTGGTCCTCGGGGATTTCGCGCGAGTCGCAATAGACCTGATAGACGAGCAATCCTGCTCCGTATGAGTCCCGCGTGCCTTGTGCGTAGGACGCGAGCATGACTCGCATTACATCAGCAAACTCGGCAATTTCTGAGCATCTGACAGGCTGACAGAGACCCCTCAGAGCGACTCAGTGCATCAGGTAGCTCAGCATTGTCAGATTATTCAGACCCATCAGATGAAGACACCTATTCAATTCCGATAATTGCAGTAGCCACAATATTATTGCTCGTACATCAATGGCTCGAGAGCGCTGATTGTTTCATTGTACCAAGAGTAACAATAGTGGGTAAACTACACTAAAATGTATGGTCATCGTCGACACAGTCACATCAGCAGCATAGTCTATTCTCTCTCGCATTGTCTGCTGTCTCGCCGTGTTGTCTGCCATCTCGCCGCCCGTGCCATCTGCCGACTTGCCTGCCCCGTGTACCCTCTCTCGACCCATCTGCCCCGTCTGCTCTCCCATTTGCACAGGCCGGCAGCGGCAGCCACTCGTCTGCATGCTTCTGCTTGCTGGGTTCGTCCTCGGCCAGCTCCCGCTCATTCCGCTGGTCCTTGTTGAACACGTGTTCGATGGGCTAGTACGCATCATGCTTGTCTTTGTTGGGGTCGTTGTCGGTAGGCTCTTGCTTGCTGAGATCAGCCTCGCGCGGAGCTGACGAGAAGCGTTCAACTCACCTAACATGTACCCTGATCCTTCTCGCAGTCTAGCGCGTCGGGTTCAGACGCGTCGACACGGATGCGGGTAGTCTACGCCTAGTCGTGTTTGTCCCGCGCACAATTATCCTCGGTGGACTTTCCCTCGAACACCCTCTCGCTGGGCGGGGTCGGCATAGGTGGATGCTTGCTTGCTGGATTCCGAATCCGCAGTCAGATCGTTGCATGCGGATTCGTCCTGGGCCGAGCTCGGGTATACCTATGGGTATCCCGAGCTCGACGGGCGAGCAGGAGCGTGGCCCGTAAGAGGAAGCGGGTGCAGGACAAGTGACGAACGGGTGGGCAGGCGAATAGGCGGGCAGTCGGGCAGGTGAATTGGCGAACGGGCTTGCAGATGAGCGAGCTGAGAAGAACCTGGGCGGGCAATGCATCGAGGACGGCAGGAGTGGACTGGCAAGAGTGGGCGGACGACAGAGCTAGTGAGAAGGCGAGGCTGAGCGGACGAGAACAGGGAAGCGATTGAGCAAGCGAGTGGGAAGGCGAGCAAGAAGGTAAGTGGCGAGCAGGCAAGGACGGGCATGCGAGCGCATCAGCAAGAAGGCGAAGGCGGGCGGGGAACTGGCGAGAGTGGGCAGGCGAACAAGCTAGTGAGATGGCGACGAGGCAGACGAGCATGCGGGCGAATGAATTGGCGAGCGTGCGAGTGTGTAGGCAGACGGGTGGGCTAGCATTGGCAAGAGGGTAGGGGAGGGCTGGCGAGCAGACGGGCGAACGAGCAAGGAGCCGTCGCTGTGCGTCGCGCCTGTGCACTTGGCGAGCCCGCCGTCCACTTGCCCTCGTCCATGCTGCATGCATGGTCCGCTCGTCGGTCGTGCTTCCGCGCAGGGTCTTCGCACTGCATGCTCACGGTCACTGTGCGCTATGCTCACGCCCGTCGTGTTTCCGCACCTCGTGCCCACCACCCGCTCGCCGCCGCCCGTCCCCGCCAGCCACTCGTCCGTGTGCGAACGCCACATCACAAATGAGTTGCGAGGGACTCACTATACATGAAATCGAGCACGCCCGCCGTTCCTCTCCTTGACGGAGGGCCGCGAGAGTCTGTGCTTTGCGGGATGAGCGGACGAGGGAACTGGAAAACGAAGGGCGGGTGAACAGGCGAGAGGGTGAAGGGGCGAGAGGGTGAAGGGGCGAGCGGGAGGACTGGCGAGTGGGCAGGTGAACGAGCACGCAGGCGCATACTCACCTATTGCCAACCTATTGGCCTCCTTTCCATGGCCCATCTCCCCTAGCTCCGTGTTATCCTCACGCCTCCGTCGCACTTCGCGTGTATTTCGACGCTACCGCGTAGTGTTGAAGTTCGATCGATGTTTGGTCGGCGACGTCGAGGAGGAGGAGAGAAGTTTGGCGCTGTTCGACGTGCGTGTGGAGGGCCAGTGGAAGCGAGAAGTGCTAAGCGCCTCAGCCACGACACGTCACGCGCGCTCGCCGGACTTCGAGCCTCAGACTCACTGTCCGCCTTCACTGTCAGCCCCCTCCTCCCGGTCTGCTTCGCCGTCACTTGCCCGCCGCCGACCTCCAGTACACACCGGGCCGGCCCATCTGCAAGAGAGCGTATGTAGCAGGTTACTGCGCAGCCCAAGATCGCGCTCTATGCGACCGCACCGCAACGAGCCTCAGCGACGCGTCAAGAGCATCGCTGAAGGCTCGCGAAGGATTAGCAGAGGGAGGACGGGGGGCTGTGGTCAGCAGGGCGCGAAATTTAGGTGAGTGCACCGCCTTCCACCTCGACCCCGTAGCCAACCGCGGCAATTGCCCACCAAAGATGGCCGGAACACGACGGAGACAGCCCCAGAGCATGCTTGTCCAAGCGTATGAGCGCGGCGAAGACGGCCCCGGTGCGCGCGTTCACAAGCGACACAGGCCCGCTAGCACAAGCACAGTAGGTATGTACCAGACGTCGCGCGCGGGCCCGCCAGCAAGAGCTGGCTGCATACGGATACGACGCTTCACGCACTGTTACGACCAGGGCCTGTCTGCCGCAAACCAATACCATTCAACGACGCATCCAAGCCCGACGCGACCCAGCTCAACGAGCCTGAGACCACGACAAACAACGGATGAGCCCACCAGGCACCCGGCCCACCGAGCAACAACCAGTCATCCCTGCCTGACGCGCATACACTTCCCAAGGACGAGCGTGCCGTACCCCCGCACGAGAAGGAGGCAGACCGCCGAGTACCATGCGCGCTCTCTACGGCGAACGGCGGGAAGCCATTCCTCCCCCGCCTGCGCCGCGCGGTCTTGTACGTCGATTCGGCGTTCGACGTGGACCTCCTGCTCCTTGTCCCGCGGACGCTGTGCCACCTCGATGTGCAGCCCTGGGACGAGGTGTACAGCCCGAAGTATGAGATATTGACGAAGACGGAGTGTGAGTACATGCACGAAGTCTGACGGCGTGCGACCAGCCGACGACACAAGCCCGTTGGTGCAAACCCAACAGGTATGCAATTGACGAGTCTTAACATACCACGCACGGATCTACCAGCATCGAAGACTTGACCGCCTACAGATATGGATCACGAACCGACGCGCACGGGTACGACGCGGGCCACTGGCAGTTCGCCGTACATAACGTGCCCGAGCCCGGTACGACACAGCTCAACGAGCAGCACTGCGACAAGCAACAGTCCACCAGGCATCCGGCGCGGCGTGCAACGGCCTGCCGAGCAACAGCTGGGGCCTGGGCATACCCCAGCTCGACGCGCATATGCCCGTGACTGAGGATGAGCGTGCCGCATCCTAGCCTGAGGAGGAGCCAGGCCACCGAGTACGAATGCAACGAGCGGGAGAGAGCCCGCCGTGGGCACCCGCAGGCGGTAGCTTGCGCAATTCTACGGTACATTATGATTAGCTAGCGCTATTCTGTACAGTAACAGTAGTAGTGATCAATAGAATAATATTTAGTTGATTTCTATGCCCTGGCTGATCTTGGCTGACGAGCTGGGAGGTCTGACAGGCTGTCTGAACGGTCTGAGGATCCTGTCTGACGAGCTAGCATCGAAAAAAAACGAGGTCATGAGGGCTGAAAATCTGAAGCAATCTGAAGCAATCTGAAGGCTTCTGAAGGCTTCTGAACCCCCTGACAGGGCCGTCAGACAGATTTCATGTTTTCCTGATGTACGTTCTCGAGGTCGCGCTCTGAGAGGCGTCCGATGCTTCGTCCCGCCTCGTTGTTTACGCTGCGAGGGGTTTCCGGGGACCACTTTTGCAGCCTGTCTCTGGCCAGGCAGTGCGGGCGACGCTCCGAGGGCTTGGGTGTGAGGAGACTAGGGTACGGGCGAGGTCTCGCTGTCTCTCGCTTCTGCGTGACAGTCTTACCTCCGTGTCCCTCCTCGTCAAAGTGTTGTGTGCTCGCCCCACTCGGTGTTGGTTCGGATGTGCCAGTCGAGGTCTTCGTCGACGCACCGTTGCTCCTCCGCATGAGCGCGCTCGAGAACCTCGTCAATGCACTTGGCTGCGGCTCTCGGGTAGCATCCTTGTCGGTGTAGCCTGAGCTCGGTGGCGGTGAGCGGCTCTTCTGAGTCAATGAGGAATCTTGTGAGTTCGTTGGGTAGGGGGACTGGTGGAAGGAGGAGTGCGCGCGCCGGGTAGATGCCGCGTGAAGGGCCGTCAGCAGGATTGTTCATCAGGAAAAATGGCCTTGTCACACAAGACCTTGAGACCACTCTTGAACCGTTCAAGAGTAGCCAAAGCGCAGAAAGGAGTCTCAAGCGATGAGAGCTGCCTCAAGACAAGTGCCCTAATTGGATGACTCCCAAAGCCTCCCAAACATCTGACGCTTGTCAACAAGCACCGTATGTGTCTCACGAGCTCTTCAATTTGCTTTCAATTGTTCGTTTTTTTGGCCCAGTCGCCGCACCGCTAATGCTTGATATTCCTTGGATCCACTTTGTCTCCTCACAAAAGCACTTGTAGAGAGCTCCAAATATCTTCAAATCTCTTACAAACATTGCTTTTCACAGCATACGGCGGCACATCGAATACAATGCGAGCGTGATATTCAACTAATACACGGACATACAGATGTGATACCTACACTTACACCCAGTAGCTGATGATAGACGCGATATTGGGCTACAGGAGGCACAAGGGGAATACAGAGGCGGCGGCAAATGGCGGCGACGGAATGAGGACTGAAGGGGGTAGACTGAAAGGGTATAGGACGAAGACATCGTGCTCGTATCGTACATCCCCACTCCATACTGCTTGGGGACGGTGTTGCTTACGCACGAGAAGCCGTCTTCTTCTCCCAGTTGGAGTTGAACATCTCATCGTCTTCGTCGTCATCGCCTTGGCCGACTTCGCCCGTGTCGCTGTCGTCAACACGCAATCCTGCAAGGGCTCTGAGAGCAGAAGGTATGTTCAGAAACATTCAGAATAATATGGTGTAAGATAATACCGTATGTAATTGTTGAGCGTCGAGTCCATGGACTTGACGAATGCGATGACCCCCGCACGCTTGTCGCGATCCCCTGTGCTGGCCAGCCGCCTGAACTTGTCGATCCGACTCTTGAAGCGATCGTACCTGGGACACGCATGTTAGAGGCGAGTATCAGAGCCAGCTAAGACTTACTCGCTAGCGTAGTGCTTCTCATCGAAGTTGATGGTCTGTCCCCTGAGTGCCTCCTCAAGGGCGACAACTATCTGCGGGAGGAAAAAATTGAGTTTTGTCTCCTTACTGAGCATATCTGCACTCACCGCGCAGCACGCCAGTGCGATCATGTTGCTGGGAAGTGGCTTGCTGAGGTCGAACAGCTCCTGGTTTTCGCTACGCATCCCTTCCGGGTTTGATCCGAGCCACCACTGGCGGGCCATGACCTCAGCTATGGCCTCATTGTGGAATGGCATGTCGGTGTCCACTTCCCAGGTCTGGCCCCGAGGTCAGAGGTCAGCCAGAAGCATGTCATCCAATATCTTATAAGTACGTACCGCGGGGTCTACGTCAGGGTCAGGCATATCGAGGTTACCGTGATGGAACACATCCTTGTCCTTGAGCCATTTAATGCGGACCTCTCTCGCCTTGACGAGTTTCTCAGCACGAGCCGCAGCATTGAGCTTCTGACCTCAGGGCCCCGGTCGGACACCTTGATGTGCAGAAAATCCTTCTCCACTACACGTTTCGCTTTTTGCTTGACTTCTTGACGGATCTGCGCGGCGATTCTGTACACCTAGGGTCCAGCGATGTGACAATGAGTCGCGTCAAACAACAACTCAGAACCATACCTTGTTCGACAGCTGATTGTGCAGAGGACCGGGTGTCGCCCACAAAGGGTCGATTTCGTTCGTAAATTCCGGCGTCTTGAACATCTTGTACTTCTCGCGCGTCCTGTCGATGATAACATCCGGCGCAACAGTTTTTGCGAATTCCCCTTGCTTCTTCCGCGGCCACGCATTCTCCAGCGCGATATACAGGCGGAACTCCTGCTGAGCGGTGTAGATAAAGTTCTTCATCATGTCAGTAGCAAATGGGTCCTCGTTGGCTGCGTGGGCAGAGCTCTCCTGGGCTTTACCCTTGCCCTTGTCTTTGCGCTTGACCTTGGGAGTAAGGGTGGTGCCCACCTTCGACGGGATCATGTCCTCAGACTTGACGATGATCTGGACGGCAAGTTAGCATATTTGACAGTGGGTGAACCCGGCTCACCTCGTCGTCGTCGGCCTCATCTCCAACTTCGGACTTCTCGAGCTCATCGAGCTGGGGCTCTTCCTCATAGTCATCGTCACCGTCACCGTCAGCGTCCGATAGGTCAGCGTTCGATAGGTTGTCCTCGTCGGCATCGGACTGGCCAGATACGTTGCCAGAGAACCGAGACTTCTCTTTTCCGGCACCCGCTCCCTTTCTGCGTTTGGACAGAGCAGCCCTGGTCACTGTCGCACTCTGCTTGATTTGCGGAGCAGCTAGAGAGGCGTTACCTAGCCCATTTGTCAATCACATATCAGCACTACAATGACGTCCACTTGCCACGTTTATTCTCGGTCTCCTCATCCTCTCCGCTCTGCACGCGGTCGCTTTCTTCGGAGCTATCCAGTATGCGCCGTGCCGGCTTTCCAGCATTGCCACCTTTCCAAAATCGTATACGGCATTAGTCACCGAACACAAGTGCAAAGACGACTTACGCAGACGCGCTGTAAGCTCTCTCTCTTCCTGAGTTGCCCCGGAGGCGGCATTCTTGCGTGGAGATGCGGCAGATGCAGCCGGCACTTGAATGCCTATGAGGACCGGTGCCGACGAGAGAGTAGCTGAATAGCACGTACCAGAACCCGTGCTCTCATCATTGGCTCCAGTCCCGGTGCGTGCCTTCTGCGACTTAACCTTCTTGCTTGGCCGTTCTTCACCGTCACTGAGCTGAGCAGCGTTCCTTTTGGAACCTGTGATAGCATCCACGTTGTCCTGTAATTCCTGAACAATAGCCTAATGAATACGTACCACTCTTCCCCCCGGTCTTTGTACGCTTAGGGTTTGTCACTATTTCACCACGAGCGTCGCCCTCATTCTCTTCCTCTTCAACCTCGTCGTCATCATCTTCTTTCTGCATTGCCTCACTCTTTGCTTGGATGCCTGCAATGTCATCGGACGGTTGCAATTATGAATCACTAACATAGCCGACTTTGTACTTACCTTCTCGCCGCTCTTTACTGCTGGACTCAGTTCCCCGTCTCATCTCTGCCACGATTTTTCGAGCCTTTGCCATGATGTCCTTCTCGCTGGCGTTGGGCATCCCCTTCCGCACGAGCTCCTTCGCTTCTTTGAGTGCAGCAGCATAAGTCTGTTGACTTGCAGAGGCCGGCGTCGAGTCGGGTTTGCTGGATGAACCTGGCGCGCGGCCGCGCGTCGATGCCGGCTTCCGCGTCGCACTCTTCGTTGTCGTTGATTTGGCAGTCGCAGCTGCTCGAGTCTGGGGAGACATGATAGTGTGAGACCAGAAAGCACGGGATGGACGAACTGAGATGCGTCGAAAACTGGACTACGTGCGAGATTGACGAGCCATGCCGCACGGTGTTCTCGGAGTTGCGGAGTGCGTGCGACGGAGTCTGAGAACCCGAAGGTGTCCCCCAACGGACTGTTGTTCACAAGACCCGAACGTTTGAACAGTTGACCAGGTAGGAATAGATGAGATCTGAGCTTATCAGCAGAACAGAGGAACGGTGCCAGTGGGAGTCGTGACACGTTGGCAGCCGTAGGCGGGCATGACATTGATAGCGCGCAGCTAATACTACGTAAGATGTTGAGGATACATAGAAGAAAATCATGTACTAATGGAAATGTTCGTTGGCCTCCCAGCCATTGCGCCCACTGTTCGTCCACTTGTCGATCTCCCTATCTGTATGGAGAACTATCGACGCGCGCTCTCCAGTAAAGTGGAGATTAAAATGAGTAATGCGTGATGAGGAGAATGCCGCAAAGTCTCCGTTTTGAAGAGGAAAGACTAGACCGGGCTCATACAAACACAAATCTCCCCCGTCGTAATCTCCAACCGCCAGAACAACACACATTGTTTTGTCTTGGTGGTCCCTGTGAGCGAGAGTGGTCGCATTCAAATTGATGACCAGGGATAAGAAGGGATGCACGACGGAAGATGCGTTTCCAGGCAGTACTTCCGCGTCGATTTGGAGGCCGGCATAGTCATCTGGCAAGACCTTCCGTATCTGTTACAGGTTTGTGTGAGAAATTATGAGCAAGGACAGCTATGTGTTCACCTGATCGCCAATGTACTCGAATACGTGCGCAAAAACCGACCGTAAATTGACGTAGATATCTTGATACTTGCGCATATCGCTTGAGGTGTAGGGCAGAAGCTGACCGTAATTCATTCGCGTGTTGTCAGCCTTGCCCACAACATAAGGATGCACGTCGGGCGGGGCTTCATGACCCTGTTCAGATCATGATTGGCAGCGTAATACAAGAGACTACGAATTGTACTTACTCTCATGCCATGTCTGTTGTACCATGCAAAATGGAGTGCAGGGAAACAATATTCCTCGCCCATCGCTTCTGAGTTCATGTGCTGAAGATTGAATTTTTGCAGGGCGAAACAGGCAACCAAGTTGGTCTTGAGCGTGGCGCGAAGATTATCCGGCATGTCCGGGAAAAGGCAGGCAATCAGTTCCCCGTTGCTGGCCTTGATTTGCAGTGGTTCTCTGCATCTCGGTTAGCTCGACTCTCCTTAAGCTATGGGTGATTACCTGATGATATGCGGGCGTACCCTGACGTACCGCGTACTACATATGCGTTGGCCGTTTTGATACTGTTCAGACAGCTTGAGAGGGCGGTACAGTTCCCGCGTCAATCTCGAGCTGTAACTGTCAATACGTGTGAGACAATACCTGAGTTTCCAGCTCCTCAATGGTACCAGGTTCCCTTGCCATACTGGCCTCGGATCGCCGGGTCTCTGTCCACGCAAACGCTTCAGAGCCAGGGACGGGGTTCGCTCGATGCCCATCGCATCGTAGATCAAAGCTTGTGGTGAGGGATGTCCCATGGGACGACACTGGACCTCCCCCTGCTTCGCCATCACCGAGCGTTGATTGTACGTAGCACTCGTCATCGTCAAGGACGGTGCAGGGAGACGGCGGATTGGAATGGACCTCATTTGCGGTACACAAGAGTTGCTGACTGGCCCACGTCAGTTGTAATTCAACCTGATGGTCGACGGGGTGCAGGCACGATAGCCATGCCTCAGGGTTCCTGTCAACGGCTTCAAAAGTGCTTGACAAGGTATTATGTGTACAGTTGCAACACCACGATCAAAGAACTTACTTCATACTCAGCGCGCCGAAGACACGGTCTGATTGGGTCAGATCGGAACAGAGGATGTAGTCCGAACGGAGGTTCATGTCCTCGAGAAGGCTGCGAGAGAACAACGTGTCGAAGCGGAGAGATGCAAGCTGCCGGATGCGAGCAATGGTTGGAATGATGCGCTCAATGATCAGTTGACCGCATGTTGTAGCTATTGAGTTACAGCAGAGTGAACGTTGTTTCATCAGTGGGTTCATAGTGGGAGAACGTACTGGAATCTGGGCATCGCAGTACGTTCGCCAATTGCCACGCAAAGTCATCCACGGATTTTTCTAGATTGATCCGCAACTGAGCGCAGACGATTATGATCAGTATGTACACAGATCCTTGGAAGAGATCGTCAACAACATCGTCATAGAACGCTATGACGAGCGTACCGCCAGCAGCAACGGCGGCAAATTTGCTGCCTAACTTGATCCAATGCCGGAAGGTACGCTCGCTCGGCGCGTCTGGTAACCCTTCAATGTGTCTGCGCCAAACTTCGGCATTGCTCTTGATATCATCTCGCCGCTTCAAACTACTAATGCATGTCAGCGTTCTCAACCAATCTCAATAGAAGCATGTCCTTACGCCGTACACTTACATACTAGCTGTATGTAGTGAATCATGAGTAGAAAGTTCAAGGTGAGGTCGCGCTTAGTGACCAGGCCACATCTCTGCATTATAGAAGCCAAAGAGTCGTCGGCAAACCCCGCTCCGAAGAGATCGTTGCGTGCTAGGGAGGTTATTATTCCGTCCATGTTCGACTCGGCACCGTGCATCACAGCACCTAGTTGGGCCACGAAGGCGTTTATTGCGGGGGTGACTTGGGCAGGGGGGGTATGGAGGTTAACCCATCGACGACTGGCGCTGGCCTGGGCACCAGTGCGGCACTTCCAATAAGCTACATCCGCTCTTCTGCCACTAGAAGAGCTGCTCTTCTTTCTTGATGAGCGACGTGTTGTCAGCTTTCCCTGCCCTGTGGCGATATCTGTGACGTGTTTCGAGTTCAGTGCCAATTGAATAACATTGACAATGTCCCAAACTCACCAGCCTTGGCCATCTGAGTGTTGAGCTCATGTTCTTGTGACGTGGCATGGTCGCCTGTACCGCGTTGTACCGCGTGAGTTGTGGAATCACAGTCGTCGACGCCCATCCCACTACTGTCCAGGTCTGTTGTATGGTACGTAAGAAGACACGGGTTCTCACCATCTACATTGGCGTAGAACTGACCGTGCACATGAGGACGAGGGGCGCCCATATGGCTCGCATCAGCATCGTCCACGTCGGTACCTCTGTTGGTATCATCATACGCGATGAGGGCTGATTGAGTAGTGAATAACATCGTTTACAAATCACTCATAGAGTGGTCACTCACGTTCTTCGTTGATTGGCGCGCCGTTGGACTGCGAAGCCAATCTATCCTGGATGTCTTGAAGACGTGTGCGAGTGCTTTGCAGAGGTTCCGGCAGACAAGGAAAGCTGGTGAGGAAATCCAGCATTTGTGTGAGTTCAAAATGTGAGAAAGGAATCAGGACTTCCGTCACTGATGCAGCGTCCTCCATGGTCAAGCTCAAGTGTGACATGGTAAGCGCCCAAAATCGGCGGATCGGTACGATGGAGATTGTCATAAACATATCGGACGTGTTGAATTGGCCATCATGTACGTGTGGCACTACTTACACAACAACGACCCCCTACTTTGACCGCACACTCTTTCCTTTACCCTTCGAAGATCCGGCCTTCCCCCTCCCCTGGACGTGTTTGCCCTCGGCCTTAGCGTTGGTCCGCTCCTGCGCCTGTTTTTCGCTCATCAACCGCTCGTCGACGCGCGTGCGTACTCGGGTTCGACCTCCCGCCATGGCATACGGCAGGATGTTTGACGGGGCGTGCTCGGTGAAAGCGTCGAACGCATCGAAGAAGCCCTGCTGCGACGTCAGCACCAGGTCAACCACGGCGTTCGACCGATCCAGACTGGGTAACTGCGTGTAATAATTAGGGACGTCCTCCTCGGCGATCTTCAACAAGACCTTGTTTCCGGGAGCCGCCATGCCCGGAAACTGGTGGAGTTCAGCGCGAAGATCTTCGTCTTCTTCACGAGCGTTCACGGCAGCGAGGACCTGGTAAACCAGGACCCACAAGCGGGATAAGTGGTCCTTGAAGCGACGTACGGTTTCGAGTGGGGAGAGGTGGGGGTTGATGCTCGGCATGAGCGTGTCTGACGACATGTTCAAACGGATTTCCTGCATAAACCCGTGATTGAAGCCCTATTGAGTTTGGTGTTCGTACTTACCACGAAAACGAATTCCTCAAGTATCCTGGGGAGGTCCCAGTGTTCATCGACGGCTTGACGAAACTTGTGGTACTCCGAAGGGAGTACCGCAAGTGCGTACGCATGCGTCGCACCATAAACGGCGATATTTCGGAGGGCAATAGGGGGTGTTACGTGGTCCGGCCACACCTCCACCATCGGCTTGAGGGCGTCCCGAGGACGGCAATCCAAGGGGGCCTTACCGTGCCCTTTTGATGCTCTCCCGCCACTGGGATGCCTTCCAAGCAGTTCCCACTTCCCCCATCCTTCCGCCTTGGAGTCCAACTTCCGCCCATCCTTCTCGGCTTTGGCGGCCTCGATCCACGCTTTGGGGATGCTCCCTGGGACCTTCCCCCCGGGGTTCGGATGCGATTCCTTCAGCAGAAGGATGAAGATCCCGCAGGCGGCGATCAGGCGGCGATCCCACATGTTCGCCATCTGCTAGCCGTTCATTAGAATCAAAACTGTGAATGTGTGAGCACGTACCTTCCGCATGATGTCCAGGGGAGACTGCGACACTCCGCACTCTGTTTGACACAGTGCGTGTGAAGTGAAACCGAAATCGATCACGAAGGATGCGTCTGGCACGACAGCGGGATATTCACCGATGCAAGTCAACAGGCTCGCGATGTCGAGATCAAATAGATCCCCGTACGTGAGGAAACCCCGGTCCATGAGTCTGCGCCATAGGTTTTCGATCCCGTCGTGTATTCGACTGGCCGGAGCGTGCTGCGCTGGAGGCATGGGCCTGGGACGCCGCCGGTGTGCGCTGAGACGCGAGGCGTGAGGCGCGAGGCGCGAGACACGAGACACGAGAGTTTGGTTTGAGAACGATCTGCGCTGCCCTGTTCACGGCCCTTGTGTGATCACTGAGTCACCGACGGCGCAGATTGTCTTCTTCCAGAACTCACCTAGATATCATCTACTGCCTGCGTACCTTGGCTTCTATTCACTTCCCACAGCGGTGCATCGCGGGCGCCTGAACATCGGGCGCCAAGATCATCTCTCAGTCGCACGCGCGTCAAGATCTCGACATAACAGTGCGTGATTTCAGCCATAGTATACAAACAATCACAAGAACGAGAACTCGTACATAGCCACAGCGAACCCTTCAGACGAAAACGTTGTTGCGGTACGCGCCCTCCTCGCCATAGGGAAGCCCTCCCTTGAGAAGGAACGCCCTACCCAGTCCGCGCTGCTGATAGACCATCGCCGCCAGCTTGTGATACATGACACGCTGCAGCCACCGAATCACTCTGCTCCCCGCGCCCTCGCAAACCTCCTTCAGCAATGTCTCGTCCACGTATCGGTCCTGACCGACCGACTTCAAATCGACCGACTGAACCTGATCATCCGGCAGCAGCGCGACCGGCGCCAGCGCGCGTTCAGCAATATTGGAAGCATGAGAGTAGACGATGTTGTGGATGTGGTCTTCCAAGAAGCGACTCCCGTCAGGGGGGGACGTCTGTGGCGGGATGCCGCGTTTGAGCAGGCGCTGCATCGGTGTTGGTTATGAGTACCGCAACGCATAGATAAGTCGACTTACAATGAATCTGGGTCCCTCGGTATCCCAGTCCTCCAACGTCCTTGCGTGCTGCGCACACTCCTGAAACTTGGCGAACTCCTCACACCGGTACACGGCCATACAAGCCTCCATCCGCGCAGTCTCGGCACCCGGGGGCACACGACTGCTGCGGTAAAGGATGTTGTTATTGAGGGCCGGGTCCGCCTGTCCCGCCAGAGCGATGACGAAGCCTTGTAAGTTCTTCAACGAAGGCAACGCTGCAGAGATCTACGTCATTGATGAGCAGGATTATGGCATGATAAGAGATCTTGACGTACCTTTAGAGTCTGGTAAAGGAACTCGGCTCGCGTATGTGTCACCAGGGCGAAGAATATCTCTTTGCCCGAGCCCGGAGCCAAGTGCATATTCTGGACAACGGAGCTGTGGCGTAGGGTGAACTGAACCCGCTCGTTCTTGACCAACATCTTGTACGCGACGCAGGGCCGTGCGTCTGAGAACGTGACAATTGTATGCCGAAACATTGACGCCATCTCGTCGAGTAAATCGAACGCGAAGTCCTCACTGTAGGTAGGCGTTTGGGCCACTATCTTCGCGTCTTGCGGCCAGAAGTCCATACTGTCTTGCATAAGCTTCCTTGCTCGGCGGTGGTGCAGATAGGAGTGCTTTGGTACTCACTTGATGGCACGCAGGAATGCGACGTACTTTGCCAGTTCACCGCTCACATCCCACTGCCAGCTCTCCTCCAGGGTGCTCTGCAAGAGGGAAAATTCACGCTCCTCAATGCTGAAGATCTCCTGTTGTGAACAAACATAAACGTATATACGCACGTCCGGGTTCGCCATACGTTACCTGCATAATGAACCCATCACGTCCCGCCTCCACCCACTTCTGCCATAGCGTCCAGATTTCCTCGAAGAACCGCACTATGAGCTGTAGGTCTTCCTCAGCAGGGTTCATCCGAGGCAAGAGTGTCATGAATGGGTTGGTTTCATCGTTGATGTGCGTCGGTTCCTCAGATTTATCGAGCAACTTCGCCGCGATGGGCAGTGCCGAGCGCACACGCTCAGTGAAGGAGTTCCCAGGAGAGTAGTGAGTGGCGATGCTGGGAGGGGCAGAATCTTCAGTGGGGGTTTGAGGCGGGGCCGACTCTTGGTCGCTGTCTGACAGTTCGACATCCGAACCACGACCGCCGTCTCCAGTGCGTCCTGAAGACAGATCAGTCGTCTGAGTATCGATAGAGCGGATTGAAGAGTAACGATTCAGAGGCATTGTGGAAGCATGTACTGAAGGTGTACTGAGGGCAGCGGTGGCTTTGTCAGCCGATGCACCATGATAATGCCTGTGAACATGAAAACAAACCAAAACTTACGGTTTGCTCACTTCTACTTCCCTCGTCACTTGCTCTGTTTGCAACCACAGGCAGTTGCTCAATTAAAACACAAGCCGATGTAATACAGAACTGGATACTTACCGCGTTATACGTCATGTAAATCCCGCTTCACAGACCACTGTACATGCCGTTACAGGCACCTAAGGGGTCCTGCCTAAAACGGACATCGGCAATGGGCTTGCCAATGACCGCTTTAGGCAGGCTAAGCGCTAGCCAGTGCGTACATTTTGTTCATATCAAAGCCGTGAACTCACCAACGAGCCTGATTCTGCGTAGGTGACGACGCACAGTCGTGATGAACGTCAAACGAGGGTGCAATGTTGCACCGAAATTGGACTGTGAATGTTATGATAACGTCGTGTAAGTGTCGATGTAGATTCCCAACCCAATGAAAGAAGACATACCCTTGAGATCCGCTCAGTGAGAAATGACGCTAGCACTTATCCCTAGGTTCCTAGGCAGTGGGAGTACGGCGTGAAGGTAGGAAGATGCGTGTGACAGACTGCACGGCGCGAGCCATCAACTTTACCTCATAAGCGATTGAATTGACGCGCATAGGCGCGGGGACGCTACTCAGAGGGCTTCAAGAGCCGTCAAAGCACTTCCCAGCGGGTACGATCCTCGATTTTCTACCGCCCAGTCCATCGTTGTAGGTGAGAAGACTAGCTATATCACCAGATAACGCATTACTGACCTTGAATGTGTGGTATAGCCTTCCTCCATGAAAGGCAGAGCCAAGACGTATGTGCCGTTCATCCGCCCCGGCGATGCCGAGGACCGTACGTGTCCAGCTTGCGACAAGCTCCTCAAGACACCGCAAGGTCTCATGGCCCACCTATCAACAGCTAGATCGTGTAAGTGGTACAATAAGGGGAAAAACCGGGAACTCAGCGGGATTGTCGTTCCCGAAATTATTGAGGATGTCACCGCCAGCACAGAAGACGGCGAAGGTGACCTGGACGACTTCCGAGACGTTGTGGAGAACAGGGATCTCTTCCGGTTTGAGATCCCTGTGCGGCCAGAGGATGGGGCCTTTCCCAACCCGAGCCAAGCTTCTTCTTCCACCGGTGCGCAACCAGCTCCGCCGACCGTACGGGTTCCTGCAGTGCCGGCCCTGGACGACGACGAGGACACGAGGGTGGAAGATGAGGACCCTCTAGCAGGGAAGGTCATACGCATGGAGCCCACCATCGTGGAGACTTGGAGGGCGTATTTCTCGGGCGAGGACGGGGACGACCCGATGGACGGCGACGGCGCGGATGGGCTTGACGGAGACGAGGCAATGGATGTGGATGAAGAAGACAGGCCTCCTGAAGAGCAAGCCAGAAACGAAGTGTGGAAACCGTTTGCGTCGGAGCTCGACTGGCAAGTGGCTAAATGGGTCGTTTGTGAGGATGTAGGGCAGAACTCCCTGAACCGATTCTTGAGCATACCAGGAGTAAGCTGTTCCGTATTTCTCTACAGTCCAATTCTCTGAAGCAAGCTCACAGGTAGTCGAAAAGCTCGGGCTTACCTTCAAAGACGTGCGAGAGCTCTTCTCAAAGGTTGACGACATCCCCGACCGGGCGTCATGGAGAACATCTTCCCTCACGTTCCCTGACAGGCCTGATGAGGCCCATCTAGTACGTTACCGCGATATTCTGGAGGCAATCAAGGCCCTCTTGGGCAACCCGTCATATGCGAAGCACATCGTGTACCGGCCCAGGCGAGTCTTCGCCGACCGATCCAGGATGAAGCGCATCTTCACGGAAATGTGGACGGGTCTGTGGTGGAATGCGGTACAGGTACGTCCTCTTTATACATAATAACTTGGTACAGGCATATGAATTTTCGTCTTAGGAACTGCTGCCCGAGGGTGCGGCTGTTGCCCCCGTGATTATATCTACAGACAAAACGCAGCTCACTCAGTTCTCGGGGAACAAGTCTGCATATCCGGTCTACCTCTCCCTCGGCAACATCCCTCGTGCCATTCGCCGCAAGCCCTCGCAACACGCTTGTATTCTACTGGGCTACCTTCCGGTGTCGAAGATCGACAAGGAAAAAATCACAAAACGCGAGCGAAAGGCGAGGACACAGAGGCTGTTCCACGCCGCCATGCGAGTCATTCTCAGACCGCTTGTGCAAGCCGGCGTGGACGGTATGGAGGTTACTGGCGGCGACGGTTGTGTGCGTCGTGTCCATCCCATCCTTGCGGCATATGTCGCCGACTTCCCTGAGCAGTGCCTGGTAACTTGCTCGAAATACGGGACATGCCCTAAATGCCATTGTCCTTCCGACAAACTGGAAGACCCCGATCCCGCTCAGCCTCGTACGTCGGAGATGACAGCGCAAGCAATCTCAGAGGCATACAGGACGACTCGTAATCCCGCTGCTGCCGATGCCAGCTGCATGGAGCGTGACATAAGCGGCAATGTGAAGAAGCCTTTCTGGGCAGACTTACCGTATACCGACATACATCTCTCCGTTACGCCCGACATTCTTCATCAATGCTATCAGGGAGTATTCAAGCACCTCGTCTCTTGGTGCCAAGATCTCCTAGGTCCCAAGGAGCTAGATCAACGACTTCGCTGTCTGCCGCCTGCCAATGGCATACGTCACTTCAAGCATGGGATTGCCTCTCTAGCCCAGGTATCCGGCAAGGAGCGTAAGGAGATGGCCCGCATTCTCCTGGGCTGTCTCGCGGGGAAGATCCCTAAAGCTGTGATGCTGGCGTTCCGCTCTCTGCTAGATTTTATTTATCTAGCTCAATATCCCACCCACGACGACACCACACTACGGTACATGGAAGACGCCTTGAAAACCTTCCACCAAAACAAGCACGTTCTCGTCTCCCTCGAGATCCGCGACCACCTGAACATCCCGAAACTACACTCTCTGCTGCACTACGTCAGTTCGATCCGTCAGTTCGGCACCACTGACAATTACAATACAGAGATGTTCGAGCGCCTCCACATCGACTTTGCGAAGAAAGCGTGGCGCGCATCAAACCATCGAGACGAGTTTCCTCAAATGATGAAATGGATCTCAAGACGCGAGAAGATGAACATGTATGAAGTGTTCCAGAAGGAACGTTTGGCCGAGCTGGAAGACAACATCTCAGATGAATCCGACGAAGGCGGCGATGCACACTCAAAGGATACCATCGCAGAGAGGGACACGGGTCGTGAAGAAGTTGTCGACGTCGGGGATACCGTCAAGATAGCCAAGTACTCTCCCGCTCCGCATCGGCATCTTGGCCGGGTCCAAGAGCAGCACGACGCTCCAGGATTTACGACGGCCTTGGCACACTTCCTGAACGACCTTCAGCCTACCGAACTACGTCTGCCTCGAGGTCAACTGTCCCGAACGTGGCTACCCATTGACCGGGTCGACGTTTACCACAAATTCCAATTCAAACCTTGCGAAATGTCCGATGGGAGGGAGGAAGTCGACTTGGTGAAGGCAATTCCTGGCTCCTCGGCGAAGGGGAGGAAAAGCCGATTCGACACCGTCATTGTGCTTGACAACGAGGAGGCGGAATCAACAGGCATCAGAGGTAAGACGAATTGACAATGCCGTTGCATAGCTGTCTACTTTACTCATGAGTCTCACAACTTGACACGCAGGTACTCGGGCCGCCAGAGCGAAAGTCGTCTTCAAACTACCGAAGACATTACCGGTATCAAGAGGCGGCGGTGATGCACCTGCATGGTGGCCGCAAGAGCCCCTTGCTTATGTCGAGTGGTATGCTCGCTTCCCGCGAGCCCCGGATCCGACGCACCTCATGTACCCGGTGAGCAAGGCGCCTTTGAAAGCAGATGGTACACCTCAAGGCAAAGTTATTCCGTTGTCCCAAATCCGTCAGTCATGTCAACTTATTCCTACATTTCCTGGTCGGGCCCGAGGCGCCGTTCCGCATGATTGGACGTCTGACAATGTATTAGACAAGGCTAGTAGCTTCTTACTCAACAACTGGAGCGGCATGTATGCGTATCAAACTCTATGGTAGCATGATGCATTTTGCTTGTTGGCCTCTGATCGTCCTTTCACGTCAATAGATGAGGCAGTATGTATGCATTCCAGGCAGTATGGTAATATGACAATACATCTCACCCATAAATGCGGTTACAATCTGAATGAGGACACATGGAATGAGGGCTATTCAATGTAACACAAGCGTACTACATGTGTACTCAAAACGGTCTTCAAGAACTCGGCGAGAATTGAGATCAGTTGTGAGCGCTAAAGCACAGTATCGACCTCTCTCGCGTCCGTCCACACTGTGCTTGTGGGCACCACAGCAACTCTGCCGTTACTCTGCTCTTGAGAACTCGCTCAACTCGACGCTTAACTTCTCACCTCTATCACGATGCCTCTTCATGATCCCCGGGTCCTCAAGCTTCTCGCACCGGTAGTGCCAACATATGATCGTGCCACCCGTAGTTCGGCGCCATGTTTGAGGATAGGGGGGGAGCTGTATCACATAACTGTCGTCTGCCTGGATCGACAGAGGCTGGGACAGTTGTTCAACTACGTGAGTTCCGTATTCATTCGTCATACATCACCCAGTGTGTGATGTACGATTGCTCGAACTGCCCCGCAACGCTTGCGTTGCCACAGGGAGACAAGAAAGTGTTGGACTTCACGCGCCAACAAGTCGATGCCCTCGATCCGCCCGCAAAGCTGGGCGGATGGATTCTTCTCGGAACTTTGGAAGAATGGCGACCGGTTTCTTCGGGCAGCACACCTCCCTCGAACGTTGTGCGCAGGGCGAAGGTTCCGGGCGCGCCTAGCCGGTACGTGGTACCCACGAAGATTGTAGTAGAGACGTTAGTCTACGCCTTGGTGAGTACCCATAGTTGTCCCGAAGGGCTGGCACAAATGTTCACAAGGATTAGGACCGGTACCCTCCTCTCGCGTTGCCTCTCGTATGGAATTTGCACAACGGAGTGATAGAGGTCTCCTTCCACCAGCCCCTCACCACGCAGCTGTTTCGTGGCCTCAATAGGTGGAAGAAGACTCCGCACGCACGTCGCACGACGTTTGATATCTTCAGCCTTGAACGCGGGGAATTTGCGCCCGCCGCCACGCACCCCCAACCCGGATCCGAATCCTTTCGTCTGCAGCTCCCACTCACGTATATACCAGTCTTCAAGGCGCATTATGTCACTGTGGCGGAGTTTGCGGGGCAGTATTCACGCGGCGTTCGACGGTTGGTCCCTATGTGCTCAATGAAGATGAGCATGATGAACCTGGAGTTCCTATGGCCGGTTGACATGCCTCGCCGCCGTCGTTACCTGCGAGCCAATTGGCATGTCGAGTCACGGGGGAGCCCGGAAGGGGTTGTAGCGGTGCGGCCGCTGTTGGGTGTGGAGGGCTGTACTGTGGAGGAGGTGAGGTGGGACAGAGAAGAGAACGTGAAGGAGGAGGAGGAGGAGGAGGGGGTGCTGATGGGTCATGATGACAACGGTGGGATGGGGATGCAGTACAACTAGTAGTAGGAATGGCGGAGGTCACTATCAATACCTCATGTGGTTACAGTACAAATGACAACTCACCAGTACAAATCCCATTGTGAAAGACGTTCAATACACCCCATCTGAAGACTGGCACAGGTAGAGATTCAGACTAGTACTATTTTCTGTGAACAACTTGAAATGGCACACAAGGAAACAGTACTATTTTGTTGTGCAAGTAATTAGCTTGTAGCTGTCTGTGCAGGTATGCGAGGGCGCCCTAAATGAACGACAAATGAAATTCATAGCATTCTGTGAATGCTAAATTGCTCACAGTGTTCAGAGCGATTTTGACGGCTTGGGGGTGGGGCTCATTAGTTTCAGAGTGCGCAAGAACTGCTTTGAGAGGTCCACAACGCTTGGAAGGCTTTCCGGGCACTTTGGGAAATTCTCAATCTCTTGGGCGGCAAAGGTGTTTTTCCTGATGTTGGCGCTCGGGACGTAGGCGGTGTGTATGCATTCCGCATCTCCGCTGCTGTCGAGATGCTCCAGGAGTCGCTGGAAGACTCCGTTGACGGCTGTGTTGCGACTCCGGTGGTTGCGCCAGCCTTCGACAACTCCGATGTTATCCCCATGGAGCCGTAGATGCTCACCTGTGCCTCGCGCCGACGTAATGCAGCGCGCGAGAAGCTCGAACCCGACTGCCTCGGCCCATCCAATGTCTCGTTCGCCGTCGAGTGTCCTCCAACATCAGGAAAAACACCTTTGCCGCCCAAGCAATTGGAGATTTCCCATAGTGCCCGCCAAGCCTTCGAAGGCTCCAAAAGCTCTCAAAGTAATTTCTGCGCGGTATTGACAAAGCGGATGTGGTCTCAAGTAGTAGTCATATGTCTTAACCTATTTTATGACGTGAATACTCTTGAGAGTGATCCTTGCATTCCTGCCTTTAATTGCTGGTTCATGCTGGTACAGACCCATCGGACTCAAAAGCTTGTCAAATAAACCCAGAGAATTGCTGGACTATTACATTGGAGTCACTGGGATTAACACGTAGGTAGGAACGGGGATTGTGGCCAGCAGGGCCAGCAAGTAAGGTGGGTGCAATGTTTTTTACCTCGACCCCCGTAGCCAATCCCGGCAGATGTACTACCTACTTCCTGCCGTACCAACTTGAACGCCCTTTCGCACTCTTGCCCCGACCGGTTTACTACTCGCTTTCAGCACCACGCGTCGCGCCTCCTCTCTACCAACCGATTGAACTAGTACTTGGCACGTACTCTGTGCCGCCAACGGCGGGAAGCTGCTCCTACCCTGCCGGGCGGTCTGGTACGTCCAGTCCGTGTTCCAGATTTGTCCTATTAGTACCCAATGAGCATGAGCATAGCGAACTTGAAGACGACTCCAGCGGGTGCGTACGCACGCAACTCAGGCCCACAAGTTCAAATTCAACATCTACGCACCTGACAAGCCTCAGTAGTGATCAGTTGATATGATTCTCAATATATTTCATTGACTCACTTTCTAATGTCCTGGCTGAATGGCGCAAGATCTGAGCGGCAGTCTGACAGCAGCCTTTGCAAGTACACATTGAGTATCATTCAAACCGGACTAACTAATAGTACATGATCAATTCGCAGCCCTCTCAGTGACCCCCATATTCCGTAGTACCGCATACACCGGCATCCCCATTACCTGATACTAACACCTACTCTACGTCCTCCTCCCCATCCCACTTCACTTCCTCCACCGTACAGCCCACCTCGCCCAGCACCGGACGCACGGCCGCGAGCCGACGTTGCGAGCCCCACCACTGCCCCTCGACATGCCAATCAGCGCGTATGAGCTGACGGCGCTGCGGCATGTCCACCGGCCACAGGAACTCGAGGTCCATGATGTTCCTCTTCATCGAACACATGGGCTTCAAGGGTTGAATGCCGAGTGAGTGCTCGGCGGCGTCCTCGACGATGGTGAGGGTTGAGTCCTTGAAGACGGGGATGTAGGTGAGGGGGAGCGGCAGACGGAAGGAGGTGGAGCCGGGAGCGCGGTGTACGGACGCAGGACGGAACTTCCCCAGTTTGACGTCGAAGAGTTCGAATGTCGCAAGTTTCCGGAAACGATTCTTCTTGTACTTGTTGTACGCACCGATCACCTGCATGGCGATCGGCTGGTCGAAGGAAAGCTCAATCTCCCCGTTGTACAAGTCCCACACAAGGGGCAACACCATAGGGGGGTATGCATCCTGAGCCTTGTAAGCGGTTGCCCAGCATTCAGAACACTTATTAGCACTCACCAAGGTATAGACCAGCGTCTCCACTATGACCTTCATAGGTACAATCATCCTCCGCCCCGGCGCGCCGTGAGGAACCATCGGCCTCGGTACCACCTCGTCAGGCGTGTTCCGAGGATCCCGCAACCACTCCTCCATGAACCCGAGCAGAATCCATCCGCCCAGCCTAGCGGGTGGATCAAGAATGTCCATTAGGCTGCGGACGTACAGCAGCGTGTTGTCGTCTATCTGCACCGCCGATAGCGTTGCAGGGCAGACCGAGGTGTCGTGCACCATACACTGGGTGATAGACGTCGCAAAAAGAACGGATGACAGACGAATGCATCGCACTCACATAATCAAACAGTTCTCCAAGCCTCTTACGCTCCAGACAGACGATGGTGCTGCGGTAGATCTGGCGGGTTGAGCGGTCGCACGGGGCCGAGTTGCGGACGGCACTATCGAACGTTGGCAGGACACGCGAGAGAAGGTGGAGGACACGGGGATCGTAGACCGGCATCTTGACAGAGGAAACGAGCAATCGAGGGTAGAGTTGAGCGTTGGAAGAGTCGTTGTAGTGAGCAAAAGCCACAGCGTGGCTGCGTGAGAAGTTGAGTTGGCGCTTTAGCGCTCACAACTGCTCACACGGCTCTCTGAACGCTTTGAGAGCTCTTGAAGCGCTCAGTATTTCGCAACGCGCTGCTTGTGTGCTCGCCCTGTTTGAATATAAAATTCGTTTACCATTGCCCTACCATACTGTCTGGTACGCGTACATACTGCCCCAATTATTAACGTGAAAGCTATTGGCCTTGTCCAATACATTGTCAGAGGTCCAGTCTCCCGGAACAATACTTTGCGACCCAACGGGAAACGTAGGGATGAGCTGACAGGACTGACGAATTTGAGATAAAGGGATGATTTTCCCTTGAGGCATACCATCTGATCTTGGAGGTGGCTTGCTCACGGAGTACATGAGGTGCGTAGGATCCGGGGCCCGGGAAAATCGAGCATACCATTCCACGTATGCGAGGGGCTCTTGCGGCCACCATGCGGGCGCGCCTCCACCTCCGCGCGATACTGGTAGAGTCTGGGGTAATTTGAAGACCACCTTGACTCTGGCTGCCCTTGTGCCTGTGTTTGTAGTGAGCTGGTTGTTCATCTTAGTAAAACACAGAATTCCACATACCTCTGACACCAGTCGATTCCGCCTCGTCATTGTCAAGCAGAATGACGGTGTCGAACCGACTCTTTCTCCCCTTCGCGGAGGACCCAGGAATCGCCTTCACCACGTCGACCTCAACCTTCCCATCCGACAACTCACAAGGCGTGAACTGAAACTTGTGATAAACGTCCACCCGGTCGATGGGCAGCCACGTTCGAGAGAGCTCGCGGCGCGTGAGACGAAGTTCTGGCGGTTGAAGGTCATTCAGGTAATGGGCCAAGGCCGTCGTGAATCCGGGAGCGTTGTGTTGCTCTTGGACCCGGCCAGGATCCCGCTGCGGCGCCGGAGGGTACTTGGCGATCTTGATGGTATTCCCAACATTGACAACCTCTTCTCGACCTGCGCCCGCCTCTGTGATAGTATCCGTGGATGGGCCATCTCCACCTTCTTCAGGGTCGTCTGAACCGTCGCCATCCAGCTCCGCCAAACGCTCCTTCTGGAACGCTTCATACAGCGCCATCTTCTCCCGCCGCGAGATCCACCTCATCATTTGAGGGAATTCATCTCGGTGATTCGAGGCGCGCCACGCTTTCTTCGCAAAGTCAATGTGGAGGCGCTCGAACATTTCTGTATTGTAATTGTCAGTGGTGCCGAACTGACGGATAGAACTGACGTAGTGGAGAAGGGAGTGTAGTTTGGGAATGTTCAGGTGGTCGCGGATCTCGAGGGTGATGAGGACGTGCTTGTGTTGGTGGAATGTCTTCAATGCGTCTTCCATGTACCGTAGCGTAGTATCGTCGTGAGTGGGATATTGAGCTAGATAAATGAAATCCAGCAGCGAGCGGAAAGCCAGCATGACGGCCTTAGGGATCTTGCCTATGAGACAGCCCAGCAGGATGCGGGCCATCTCCTTCCGCTCTTTACCGGATACCTGGGCGAGCGACGATATGCCGTGTTTGAAGTGACGTATGCCGAATGCCGGCGGAAGGCAGCGAAGACGACGATCCAGCTCCTTTGGTCCCAGCAAATCTTGGCACCATGATAGGACGTGCTTGAAAACGCCCTGGTAGAGTTGATGCAGAACGTCTGGAGTGATAGAGAGGTGAATGTCGGTATAGGGCAAGTCAGCCCAGAACGGCTTTTTCACGTTACCGCTGATGTCCTGCTCCATGCAGCTCGCATCAGCAGCTGCAGCGTTACGGCTCGTCCTGAAGGCTTCTGAGATGACTTGCGCAGTCCTTTCCGATGTACGAGGCTGGGCCGGTACGGGGTCCCCCAGTTTGTCGGCGGGACAATCGCATTTGGGGCACGTCCCGTACTTTGAGCAAGTCACAAGGCACTGCTCTGGGAAGTCGGCGACGTATGCCGCAAGAATGGGATGGACGCGCCGTACACAACCGTCGCCTCCAGTGACCTCCATGCCATCCACACCGGCTTGCATAAGCGGTTTGAGGATGACGCGCATTGCGGCGTGGAAGAGCCTTTGCGCCCTCGACTTCCGCTCGCGTTTCGTGATCTTCTCCTTGTCGATTTTTGACACCGGAAGGTATCCTAGTAGAATACACGCATGTTGAGAGGGCTTGCGGCGAATGGCACGAGGGATGTTGCCGAGGGTGAGGTAAACAGGATATGCTGACTTGTTTCCCGAGAACTGGGTCAGCTGCGTTTTGTCCGTAGATATGATCACGGGCGCAACAGCCGCACCCTCGGGCAGCAGTTCCTAGGACACATTTTTAATTACGCGTACCAAGTTCTAATCTGTAAAGCGGACGAACCTGTACTGCGTTCCACCACAAGCCCGTCCACATTTCCGTGAAGATCCGTTTTGTCCGGGACCTGTCGGCGAACACTCGTCTCGGGCGATACACAATGTGCTTCGCATATGAAGGGTTGCCGAGGAGGGCCTTTATTGCCTCCAGTATGTCGCGGTAACGAACGAGGTGGGCCTCATCAGGTCTGTCGGGGAATGTAAGGGAGGAGGTGTTCCATGATGCCCGGTCGGGAATACCGTCGACCTTCATGAAGAGCTCCCGAACATCTTTGAAGGTGAGCCCAAGCTTCTCAACTACCTGTGAGGCGTGCATCAGTGTCAGATAGTACCAGTTTAGAAGTATAAAACCACTCACCCCAGGTATGCTCAAGAATCTGTTCAAGGACTTCTGCCCTACATCCTCGCTGATTATCCACTTAGCCACGCGCCAGTCGAGCTCAGACGCAAATGGTCTCCATACTGCGTTACCGTCACACTCGTTTGGGGGCCTGTCTTCATCATCCACGTCCATTCTCTCGTCCGCCTCCGGCCCATCTGCATTGTCCACGTCCATCGGCTCGTCCTCATCCTCTTCTGCGAAATACGCCCTCCATGTTTCCACGATGGTCGGCTCCATGCGTATGACTCTCCCGGCCAGAGGGTCCTCTTCTTCGACTCTAGTATCCTCGTCGTCGTCCAGAGCAGGCACGGTTGGAACACGTAAAGGCGGGGGAGCCGGACGTGGGGCAGACGAAGAGGATGATGCTTCATTCTGGTTGCCAATGCTGGAGTTATCCACAGGCACAGGAAGGTCGAACCTGAAGAGATCCCTATTTTCCAACACGTCGCGAAAGTCGTCCCAGGTACCGTCCTCCTCGTCTTCTCTGGCCGCAACTTCCTCGACAATTTCCGCAACCGCTATCTCACCGAGCTCTCGATTTTTTCCTTTATTATACCACTTACACGATCGCGCACTTGACAGGTGCGCTGCAAGACCTTGAGGCGTCTTGAGCACCTTGTCGCAAGCCGGACATGTGCGGTCATCTGCGTCACCGGGACGGACGTATGGCAACCCAGATGCTCTGCCCCTCATCGCAAAATATAGCACTGAAAATTCCATTAGCGCGTCCATAGAGTCGTCAAAAAATGAGGTATTCTCACCTGCAGTAGTTGACTGGGGACAGCAACTGGGGATAGCGAAATGGTGGGTCGTACCAGCTTGAAAGCACTTTGACGGCTTGGGAACTTCTGTGAACGGTGTCCCGCGCCTACGCGCGTCAACTCAATTTCTTATGAGGTAAAGTTGATCGCTTGCAACGTTCAGTCTCTCACACGCATCCGCGTATCTTCACTCTCTGCTCTCACCATCTGGTATCCTTGGGTTAAGTGTCTGTGAGTGCGCTGTAGAACTGGTGTCAATACTCACAATGTTTCAGATTATCCTCATAAGTGCGTGGCCATTCTGTACAGTCATCTACACCGTACTTATGCTGAGGGGTTTTATAATTCTAGTTGCGGTACAATGTGTCCGCCGTTTGATATTCATCACTACATCAGGAAAAACACCTTAGTCACCCAAGCAAGGCGCCCAGCTTTCAGAGCCCTACCAATCATTCCCAACCTCTTCTTGATCAGTTGCGGAGTGGTACCCGACTCGTGAAGACATTGTGTAGTAGTTCTGTAGCTTGCTTGACTCATGTGGTTTCAGTCGTGCTCTTCGTATTCATACTAGCTTCACGTTAATAGTGTGCAATCAAAGCCATTGTAAGCAGGTAAGTGTTATACCATTAGTCAGTGTTCCCTCGTAGTACAGCACATTACAAGCATATCAAGTCATACTACTAAGGCTACGGGTCATTATGTACAGTGCATACGAAGTCGGGCAAGCATGTACATGACGCCTTTGAGCTTGCCATTCTACGAGATCAGTGTGATGAACCTGCATCTGAGTTGATTCAGGTGGTCACGGTTGAGTGGGAGCTCGAGACCACGTTCAGGTTCTGCGCTCGTTCTCCTCGTCCGCCTCTGCCGCACCAAATCCATCACGTTTCGTGCCATTGATGGTCGCTGCAGGTGACTGCGCCGTGCGGAGGCTCGCAGGGGGCATGTACACGCCGTCGTCCCATATCTTCTCGACGATGCCCATGCGGACGAACGCCCACATTGAGCATGTAGCGCGCAGGCGCGTGAGGCACCAGTGCGCCGTGCAGAGCGGGTATATCGTCGGTTTGGCTTGGGTATTGTTCTGCGGAGACAGCGGGAGGGACACGGGCAGCCCCGACGACGTCATCGCGATGCGGAAGATGTATACTGTGGTGGGGGCTCACTGGCTGGCGCGCGCGTGGCAGGGGATTGGCTGCGCGATTGCACGAGCGCGCCGGGGCCGGAGGAGAGGGTGTGGACAAGGGAGTTTTTGAAGCGAGATGCGGACCAGGTGTTGTTGATGGATGGTCGGTGGGATGTCGGAGACGGGAAGTTGGCCGTGGTAGGCGAACCTGAGGCGCTGTTGGACGGATAGATTATGCTAGTCCCGCAGAGAGCACATGAGATGTGGGTATTGTGTGATTGGCCAGGAATGGCGGAGGGCGCGAGTTCTTGCAAGAGCACAAGTGTAGGCATGGACTCGATGGAGAGTTCTCCGCCGTGGATGGCCGAAATGACGGATCTCCGCGACAGCCAGTTCAGTGAGGGCGCAAGGTCTAGCCGGACCGTCGGATCACTGCAAGCAGGTGTCAGCGCTATATGCATATTGTATATACAGACGAATATGACACACGAATCGTCCGTCACTAGACGCCAGGAAAGGCAATGGGAGCAGCGTCGACATCGCTGGTGGATGTTGAGTCGCCGGACGTATTGAATTGAACGCAGGTGCGCGATGAAGGACAAGTACTCTTGGTATGTATGGTGCATGCGAAGACAAGAGACGTCGAATGGCTGGACTTGGCTCATGCACCCGGTCGACCCACTTGCCATTACCCATCGTAGCACGCATATCCTCCATCCACCCATCCGCACGCTCCTTCTCCGCCTGCAGTGTCTGCATCTGCGTCTGCAGCATCCCGACTACCTGCGTGAAGCGCACGCTCCGTCCCCTCCTCCTTCCGCTCGCTCTTCGCCTGCGCGATGCGCGCCTTCGCTACTATGCTGCTTGCCTGGTTGAAGAGCCCCGCGCTAAGGTCGGCAAGCTCCTTCTCGATCTGCGCACGCGCACTCTCCACCTGGCTGTGCTGCGCCGCCTCATCCGTCGCACACTTCATGAGGTGGTTCAGCGCTGTCGTGATGTGGTCCTTCTCGACGAGCGGTCCGGAGCTCGGCGCGGAGAGATGTTGCGCACGCTCGAGCTCGAGCTCGCCGATCTTGAGCGTCGCGCCGCGCAGGTTCGAGGTCGTGACGTGCGGCTCGTCCTCGACGTTGGACATGCGGTCGTACGACTTGACGAGTTTGCTATTCAACTGCAACCGCGACACCTCGAGAAGAGGTCTTGCACCTGCGAGCCCGCGCAGGGCTGTAGAGGCCGGTCGTCCACGTCGATGTCGACGTCCAAGTCGCTGGGGTGGTCATGATGGTGGTCGTAGTGATGGTGGAGCTCGTGATGATGATGAAGGTCACCAGCACATGGTACTGGTTCATTCGCAGGGCCTGTTCGCGCGCAAAGCCGCAACAGCTAGGTTAGCTCATCCACATGTGAAGAGAAAGGAACCGCGCACGACGAGCGAATCCTGCCAAAGTCCGTTGAGAAAGTTGAGCATATACACGACACCCTTGACAAAATCGTGCACCCGCACCAGCGGTGCCAGTTGTTGTCTCCTGCAACGCTCGCAGTGGCGACCATCGTCCGCCAGACGCCGTCGTCTTCAGTCTGCCCTGCTCGGTGTCGAGCTTCTCGCGCCAGTCCCAAGGCCCCTGCGTGAAGGACATGACCGCTCGGCGCGACAAGCGTGTGCCCGGGTGCGATTGTGTGCTCGTGGTTGAGCGGGTGGGCGAGAGGACAGGCGGCGAGAAGGGCAGGCGGCGAGAAGGCGAGAAGGCAGGCGGCGAGGCGGCGAGAAGCAGGCGCAGAGAAGGTATGCAGCAAGACTGCAAGCGGGCTGCGAGGTGGTCCGAGTCCTCACTAAGTGCAGCGGTGCGCGGGTGGTAATAAGAGGGCGGGCGGCGGCATAGCGGGCAGTGGTGATGAGAGTGGTTATTACAGCGTAGGCGACATTCAAGTGAAATGACCTCCACGTGACGTAGGGCTCTACCCACCCGGTACTACTAGAATATTACTACTGGTCGATTGCCCTCTCTCCTACGAGCTCAACACGCTCTACCAATGCCCTGGATGCGCTAGCCACGATAGAGGATAATTGCGTGGTCCTGGTTGTCCGACTTGGCGTTGAAATGGAGCGGCCGGGAAGCGCGATGCGGAACTTCGAGCAGCTTCAACCATCCTTGGAGATGAACTCGGAGTGACAGTGGATGAGCGCGGGGAACGTACACAGACGGACCTACTTGCGCGACGCATCTCCCTCGAGGTAAACGATCTGCGGGTCGGGGTACACACGATAGAAGAACTTGGTGTTCTTTTGCTGTTCCCGGTTGAGCTTCGAGTGTCGTTGCGAGGAGCGTGCCATACTCGCGCTCGAGTCTGTCCATGTTGCCGCCGAACAGCTGAACGACCTCAGAATCCGGCTTCTCAGCGCAGGAAGAAAGTGGGTTGGCCCGCCACGCAGAGTTCATCGCCCCCGGGACGGTACGGTATAGGGTCTGCGCACGGAGCAGAGCCCAGTCACGACTGCCACGAGTAGACTCAGTAGCAATGTAACCGATGTAGTAGATAATGATCTCTCTCACCGAGAGATGAGTCTAGATGTCCTATTAGTAGGCGTCATACAGACGAGATTGAGCAAACGGACCGTCTCGCAGCAGGGCTACCAAAGTGTTTGATAGCTGTACATGCTTGCCCAATTATTCAAGTAGAAAGTTCGCGCGAGGTCCAAGACGTTGTCTGACGTCCAGTTGTCGGGAACCACGCCATTGGGGCCCTCCGGGAAAGATGGCAATAGCTGGCAAGATTGAGTGATTTGTTCGAGGGGTATGATCGAGGCGTGGGGTAAGCCGTCGGCGCGAGGAGCGGATTTGCGCACGGTGTACATAAGATGAGTTGGGTCGGCGGCACTAGAGAACGGGGCGTACCACTCGACATAAGCGAGTGGTCCTTTTGGCCACCACGAAGGGGCAGGACCATTTCCATGGACGGCGGACAACTTCCTGGGCAATGTGAAGATTACTTTGACCCTTCCGGCTCTAGTACCTGGAAATTCACAATAATGAGTTACGACTGTACCTGGGACGGCGTGCTACTGCATGTACACATGTACTCACCTCTGATGCCTGTTGACTCTGCCTCTTCATTTTGCAACGCGATGATGGTATCGAATCGATTCTTCCGACCCTGCCTCGTGGCAGGGACCGCCTTCACTTCATCCATTTCATCCTTGCCATCCAGCAGTTCGTAACGCTTGAACCGGAATTTATGGTAGACGTCAACACGGTCGAACGGTACCCATGTCTCTTCCAAGTGGCGTCGGCCGATTCTGAGTTCTTCTGGCTGTAAGTCATTGATGAGTCGAAGGAGCGCGTTCTTGAATGCCGGAGCACGGTGACGCTCCTGAATGGCTGTGATGTGCTGCCGAGGGGCCTGCGGATACTTAGCGAGTTTGATACGTCGCCCCTCACCCACGGAGTCGTCCATCTGGGCCTCGGAGACGGTGTCGCCCGAAGGTTTCGGCGGTGGTGGTTGCCCAGGACATGCTTCGTCTTCATCCTCGGACTCGTTTGGCTCGTCTTCTGCCTCGCATTGGCCCTGGAACACCTCGTACATAGTGATTTTTTCCCGACGCGAGATCCACTTGACCATCTGCGGGAACTCGTCGCGATGATTCGTTGCGCGCCATGCATCTTTTGCGAAATCAATGTGTAGCCTCTCGAAGGCTTCGGTGTTGTAATTGTCTGTTGTGCCGTAGAGTCGGATGGATTCAGCATAGTGGAGGAGGCTGTGAATCTTCGGTATATTCAGGGAATCTCGGATCCCGAGCTTGACAAGGACGTCTTTATGCTTGTGGAAAGTGTCGAGCGCGTCGGTGAGGTAGCGTAGGGTGTCGTCATCGTGGGTGGGATACTGTGCAAGATAGATAAAATCTAACAGTGAGCGAAACGCGATCATGACGGGCTTCGGGATCTTCCCTATCAAGCACCCCAAGAGCACCTTCGCCATCTCTTTGCGTTCCTTCCCGGATACCTGCGCCAGCGAAGAAATCCCGTGTTTGAAGTGGCGGACGCCGAACGCGGGAGGAAGGGAGCGGAGACGGCGGTCTAGTTCTGTAGGCCCTAGAAGGTCGTGACACCAAGAAACGAGGTGTTTAAAGACACCCTGATATACTTGATGCAGTATATCTGGTGTTACCGACATGTGTATGTCGGTGTACGGGAGGCCGAGCCAGAACGGCTTCGTGACGGCACCGCATACTTCCCTTTCCTTGCACTGACTTTCGGCTGCCGCTGCCGTGCCTGAGTCTGTCCACGCCTCGTTAATGGTTTGTGCCGTAGACGTTGAGCTGCGCGGATCACAGGGAGAGGGCTCGCTTAGTCTGTCCGCAGGGCAGTAGCACTTCGGACAGGTGCCGTATTTCGAGCAGGTGACGAGCGCTTGTTCGGGGTAGTCGGCGACGTAGGCTGCGAGCACTGGATGCACCCGTCTGACAGTCCCGTCGCCGCTAGTCACGTCCATGCCTTCCTCGCCAGCGCGGATGAGAGGGCGCAGGATTATCCTCATCGCCGCATGGAAGAGACGCTGGTTGCGCGCTCTACGCTCGCGCTTCGTGAGCTTGTCCTTGCTGACCTTCGAGACGGGGAGATACCCTAATAAGACGCAGGCATGCTCGGACGGCTTGCGGCGGAGAGCGCGGGGGATGTTGCCTAGTGTGAGATACACTGGGTAGGCCGACTTGTTGCCGCAGAACTGTGTAAGTTGGGTTTTATCCGTCGAAATTATCACGGGCGCGACTGCTGCGCCGTCCGGGAGTAGAGACTGAAGTATGTCAAACATTAGTTTGTCGTACGTAGCAATGGACAAAGCACGAAGTCACTGTACCTGTACCGCGTTCCACCATAAACCTGTCCACATTTCGGAGTAGATTCTCTTCGTTCTCGATCGGTCGGCGAACACGCGTCGCGGCCGATACACGATGTCTTTGGCATGTGCTGGATTTCCGAGAAGGGCCTTGATCGCTTCAAGGATGTCCCTGTAACGCACCAAGTGCTCTTCATCAATACGATCCGGAAACGTCAGAGACGTGGTTTTCCATGCAGCGCGGTCGGGAAGGGCGTCTACTTTGATGAATAGCTCACGGACATCCTTGAATGTAAGTCCTAATTTCTCCACGACCTGGCCGCCAATTGCGGTAAGTAATGCGGCAAGTGAGGCAATAGAGATATGGCACTGCACGACGTACCCCTGGTATGCTGAGGAAGCGATTTAACGATCCTTGTCCCACATCCTCCCTGATTATCCAGTTCGCCACGCGCCAGTCGAGCTCCGAGGCAAACGGTTTCCATCGACCGTTCGGGTCTCGTTCCTGTGCACATCCTCCCTCACCCTCCTCGCTGTCGACATCCATCCGATCCTCCTCTGAGTCGGCGCTCCCTTCCGTTGCCGAGTCCTCCGCAAAGAACGCCTTCCAAGTGTCCACAATCCGCGGCTCCATTCGTATCACTCGGCCGGCTGTCGTGTCAACGTCTTCTACTCGCGTATCTTCGTCGTCATCTAAGGCGGGGGCCGCTGGTGGTCGTCGGCGTGGAGCAGCCTCGGTTCGAGTCGTTGAACAGGATGGGCCGCTGTCATTGCCAGCTTGCTCCTCCATGACCTCGGCCTCTGCTGGGAGCTCAAAGTGGAAGAGATTGCCGTGGTCTAGGAAGGTATGGAAGTCTTCATATGGTTCGTCCTCATCCATTGCGTCGTCGGTGCCGGACACATTGCACTCGGCGGTCTCGGTAACTTCTGGTATGTTGTGCTCAACGGGAACTCTGTTCTTGCCCTTGCGGTACCAAAGGCATGATCGCGCCGTCGACAGGTGTGCCATAAGCCCTTGACTGGTCTTGAGCGGCTTGTCACATGCTGGACAAGTCGTGTCGTCCTGTGTGCCCGGGAAGACACACGCTTTTTTTGACCCTCGCATTCCTCCAGTTTGTCAACAAGTGGTGAGTCGATTAAGTACGGATTTTTCGGACAGATTATTGCATTACTCACTGGCTGCTGGTCTGGTACTGTGGACTTTGTGAAGAGAGCGCGGGGAGTGACAGCGGAGCCAGGTCAGAGCAGCAGCACGGCGTCTGATCTCACCGTCAACTGGCCCTGAACGGCCTGAAGGGTCTGTGTCGTAAGCTTGACAGGTCCTGATGGCGCCGGGCGGTACGACGCGCGGGGGATTGCCCATCTCATTCGTCTAGTATTCCGACAAAGGTTGTGTCAATTGATCTCTCATCGCTGGGACAACTTCTTGCATTACTGATCAGTTATTTGTTTTTCTTTGACTTCGGGTGTCGTAGAGAGGATACGAAGAGTGAGTTCTTAGTCCGCGGAGAGCGCACTATGGAGCGCCAAACCCATCTGTGAGCCGCGGGCGGTTGATCTCTATTCAATCGGTAAAAAGGTGAGATTCCTATTTCTCCTCCTCGTATTTCAGCACTCACCGCTGCCTATGTACATCTCTGCACTTAGCTCTGTACTCGGCAGACGCAGTTCAGTTGACCACCAGCTGGGATTACGGGAAGAACTACACTGCCGTGGTGATGTTTTGTGACTTTCATATGGTCGCTCTATCGCTTACACATACCTGCATTCCACAGCTTCAATACTAGCCTGTAGGGAACTTGAACAGACCTACGCGTCAGACAATATCACCTCACTCATGGCATATGTATGCTCGCAACTGACACGGTCAAAGCACGGCGCTTACGGCATTGCCCAATACAGTTGCTGCCGTATCCCCTGCGACAGCAACCGTTTTGGGAGGTGCCGCTTGCATTTGGTGTGTCGGCATCGCGAGTCCTTGCAAACGTGTAAGTTATTGGTTCTCGGTTCGAAGAGAAAGGTGCGCGATCCTCCTTGTACTGACACCATGCCGGGCTAAACCCTTCAAGCTTCAAGCTTAGAGGTGCCACCGCCAAGGCCCGAAGGTTCACACGGTCGCTGTTTGTATGCTGACGGATACGAAGGCGACGCCGACAGGCCAACGCCCACCTCGCTGCTCCTCAGTACTCACCATGTCTACTATGAACGACCCGTCTCTCGACACTTGCGATCACCCCAACTCCGACACCGACTCTATCCATAGTGACGGCACCGAGTCCAGTCTTCCCAACTCTGACGCAACGCAGACGTCCACCAACCCGCCTGGGACGCCGCCGAACGCAGCTCAGCAGCTCCCGGATGTCGCCATTCGGTCGCCGGGCAACTCATTCAGGGAGAACGATCGAATCACCGGGCCCCACACCCGACTCCTCGCAGGCGAAACTCCCCTCGACGACATGGTGATTTCGGCGACGACCTTTGACGACTTACCACAGCAGTTCCTAGGAGCACTGCAGGCTGGATCTGCCCACGATGGGTGTGATCGCAAGCTTTCAACCCGTCTCCTTGGGTACCTCTTGCAGCTGAAGCGCGGGTGGACTCATGCTTGCGGGCGTGGGTTTGTCACCCAGGTGAAGTCATCATTCTTTATTCAACACGCTGCGGGAACTGAGCACCAATTTTACATAGGATATTCACGGCGCCGATGAGAAACAGTACCACATACTGCAGAATTTTGTGGTTAATGCATGGAACAACAAGATAGTCTCCTCCGATGCAGCCTCGAAGAGCTGGGTTGCCTTCGTGCGGTGCATTCGGTAAGTTAACCCGTGTTTGCTACTCCTATATCTGTCGTCCTGACATGTGGAACCACTAGCGTCGACTTCTGGTCCGCTGAGCGCAAGATTGTGCTCATTGCACCAACACTCGAGGAAGACCTTACCAACGACATCGCCAGCTACATGGCTCTCGTTCTGCGAGAGAGCGAGCCCGACTCCTTTCGATCGACCATCGCCGCCGTGGAAAACAGCATCATCGAGACAAACACCCTGAAGACCGTGCTTAAGTGCAGTGCCGTGCATACTGATGCTGCGGTCAATAATGAAGACTGCGACGAGAGCAAGGTCTCTAGGACCGGGCTCCCGAGTGTACTTGGTCCCCTGATCTTCTTCTGCTCGGTGGCGCAGACAGCAGAAGAATTCGTATACCAGACTAGCAAGGTAAATCACGCAGCATGCCCGTTCTTGACGTCTGAACATGACCACCGTTGCAGATCGCGGAGCTCGTAAACAGCCAGCCGCTGCTGCAGGGCTTTCTGCACGCTCTCATCGGGCCGCCTCAGGCGACCTCGTCTACTTCCACCGATTACGAACGCGGTGTGGGCGAACGCGGTGTGGGCGAGCGCATCGAGTGTCGCGTTCTTTTGTACAACCGCGACGGCTTCCCGGAGTTCCTCAATCGCGCTGACAGAGCAAAGACCCTCACCGACTGGGATGACGACGAGCATCACATGGTACGTCCCGAATTAATCAGTCTCCTAAAAAAATATCTTACTCCTTCACCTCAGTGGGTGAAGACCACCCGCGGCCGCGAGCCCGCCACCGTCCCCTCGCACGGCTGGGGCAAGTTCGTCGACCACCTGGAATCCATCCGCCTCTCCTACGCCAAGGTCGCCATCGGAGCCCGCCGTGCCCTCCCGACTCTTCGGATCGAGTCTTTCCTAGCGAACGAGTGCTATGGAGAGGAGACGGGCACATCTGCAGAGCGCGTGGCGAAGGACATCGGCATGCGCCTTGCTATCGCTGTCACGCGCGTTGTGCCGCGGATGCACAGCGCGTCGCCCGAGGAGAAGGAGAGGGCGAAGTACTGGAGGACCGCGCTGCCCATGTACATGGAGCGCGGTTTCATCCGCAGCGATCTCTTCGTCGGTCTCTGATGTGCTACACGCCGTCCCCTATGTTGTACATTCTTATGTGATTTTTACGATGCAACTGCATCCGTGAAAAAGACATGGCGTGAATACGTGGGCATCGTTGATGTCGCCTGTAGCTAGCTGGCCTCGAGCGTTGGAGCCGTATGTGGCAATCTTGGACGAGATCACAGCCCAGAGTGAGATCCGAGAGGGCACTTCAAGTTCGACGGCAGGTACCCGTGCTAGAATAGGAAGGTCGGACCGAAAGCTTGGGCCGCGGCGTCGGCTATGCGCACTTGCACTCTCATAGGACACTTCCTGTGGGAGTGCAATGAGCAATAGCTTCTTACGATCGCACGAGGTGTGCGTCCGATCGATATCCCCTCAAGTCGACTGTCCCTCGGACGCGACTCTCTACAGCACCGACCTGATCGCACTCTCAGACTCGCCTCCACCTACCTCGCCGCCACCTACCTCGCCTCCACCTACGACCTCGATGCCGGGCCCCGTGCACAACGGAGGCAATAGCAGCGTCACATCATTATTCGACAGGAAGTTTAGGGCGGCAGACGACTCGGTCGGTGGCGGTTATTACAGCTGCGTCGGCGAGATGCGTCGAGGAGATGGGTTCATCTCGGACTCCGAGTATACGGTCGTAGTGGGCCAATTATGCAACGAGACCATGCTCAGTCAGGAGTATTGTCAGTCGCAGGGCATGCCTGACTGTATGAGAAAGGTGCGTGCTCGCGTCTCGCGACTAACATAGCAATACTGATCTATCAGCAGCTCAAACGTGAAAAAGACACCGACCACGCACCCCTCCTAGGGTGGCTGATCGGGTGCGCCGTCGAGAAGCAGGACACTCCGAGTCGCTCGAAGCCGCACGCCGATATCTTGAAGGCGTGGCGAGCCGCGAGAGCCCAAGACCCGCGCGAGCCTCGTCAATGGGGAAATTGGTACCATCGTACCAAGGACCGCAACCAGGAGGAGGTATTCCCGGTCGATGAATACCTCATTGACCCCGCCTCCGCTCGACTCCAGACGGGACGTCTCTGCGCCACCGGCATCTCGTTCGAAGACCGTCCGATCTTCGGGCAAGTCACCACCGCCCTAGTCTTCGTACCCCCGGAAGACTATAATCTTGTCGACGACGCGGTAGCGTATGGGTGGGACAGCAAGAAGATATTGGCGTCATTCAAAACTATGGTTCGTTTTCTCTACTTAATCTTCAACCGGCTGATTTCATCATTCTACAGTATATACGTCGCGACATGCGCGGCGCAGGCGTCCCTGATATGTGCGCCCATCTCAATACTCTCATGGACCAAGCATGGGTCCTTCTCCATGCTCTCGACGAGTACGAGACTACCGCGCGATGCGTCCTCGACAACATGAGCCCGGGTGCAAAGCCCTACGTGCTCCGCGCAAAGCGGTACACCTCCGGACCGCTCCCGACGCCTTCTAACATCACAGTCCCGGATGACGCGAGATTCACGGAACGCGAACTCACCGACTGGGCCGTGCGGTCGGCGCGAGCGATTTGGCGGCAGATGCAGGTTATGTCGACGATGCGCCTGGAAGCATGGCTGGACGGGGTCTAATCAAGGACTTATACATATTTGTGCTCTGTTTTCCGTCGCTATTTGTGCTCTGTTTTCCGTCGAAATTTGTGCTCTGTTTTCCGTCGCTGTCGTATTTTCTTGTCTCAGCATGTCAACGTTTGCAGCCTTGGGTGCAATAGTTCTATCTCAACACCGATCACACATGCATGCATGAACGATGCCGGCCCAGTATAAGTCAAATCGATTCACTGTAGTCTACAAGTGCCGAAAACAAATCAGGCCGAAAACAAATCAGGCGGGTGTTCAGCCGTCCTACAGACTCCTCATCTCGTAGAAAATTGAACGTTGAATGACTTCTGTGTTCGTCCCCAGGTTGACCACAACTATTCGAGCCATCGGCGGCTACCTTCAGCTCTTCTAGAGCGCAAGACCCGTGGCGGACCGGAGGCATATATCTCCGCATCATGATCTCCCACACTTCGCACAATTTTGCACTCACGGTCAGTACTCAGTACTCAGTCCTCAGTCCTTGACCCTGCTCATACTGCTCGTCGTCTCGCCCCGTCTCAAGTTCAGATGTCTCGGCGCGAGACACGGTCTACTGCTCCGTCGAGGGACACCCGAAGTGCTCCGTCGAAGTCGAAGGCTGCTGCCGCAAGCAAGCCGCCCTCCGCTGGTTCAAAACGGACGTCGACTAGCAAGCCAGTCTCGAAGAAGGGGGCTGCTGGCTCGACCAAGCCCGCGGCCAATGCCGCAACTGAAGCGGCCCCCATGACCTACGCCGAGCGACTCAACTTAATGAAGAACGCTTTGAGGCCGCAGCGACCGGACTTGACAGCGAGAGCACTCGACGTCTTGGCTCGGTCCATGGTCGCGGAAGCAAGCAAGAAAGGCAACGAGGAGAAGGAGCGTCTAGACAGTTCGTACAAGCATACTACTGACTACCGGAGGGACACTGACAAAGACTTAGCAATACAAACAAACGCTGCCGCCATGATGGCAGCCGAACATGACAGAGAGCACGCATCGGACGAAATGCCCGAGGATGAAGCGAGTCTGGAGGACCAGTCTCCTCAGGCTTCGAAGAGGAAAGACAAGACGAGTACGTACCTCACTCTGAGTAGATAACAATGCTCAATAAGCTATAGTCTCCCCCCTCATCCCACCCGAGCGTCCCCCAGGCGGCGCAAGAGGAAGGCTCAGCAAGACGAGGAGAACGCGAGTAGCGATGCAGAGTCCTCACCCCTTCATCCCACCCGAGTGTCTCCCAAGCAGCGCAAGAGGAAGGCTCGCCAAGACGAGGAGATGGTGGGTAGCGATGCAGGGTCCAGCCCGGAGCAGCCCAAGAAGAAGCAGAAGAAGTCTCAGGTTACGAACGACGCGTCTCCCAAGCTCGTTGAAGTGGAAGAGTCCAGCCCGGTGCGGCTTAAGAACAAGCAGAAGGAAGCTCAGGCTACGAAGAATGCGTCTCCCGGACCCGACGATGTGATGGAGGGTGAGACGACTGTGCACCGTAAGATGAGTCTGTCCCCACCTTCGTCGGCCTAATGGTACGTCCTTGCAGGCAAGCCGGTGGAGAAGGAGGATGCGGTATCTAAGGACGAGGATCGTGTCGCGTCACTTCTAGGTAAGTGACAGCCTCGGCTTACGTGTGTCGTTTAGTCACTCTCGACTAGCTCGCAATTCAAACAAGCCGACAAGGACACGTCGCGTCCGGAAGGTGCTGGAGAGCAGCGATGACGAAGTTCATGGGGATACGGACATGGATGAGCTGCAATCATCCGATCCAGAAGGCAAGTGGCTTCCATTACGGTCTATAAAGCTGATGCGCGACCTGCTCCGCGACTAACTGCTTACTGGACAGGTCCTCGTGTTACGGAAAGGAGCAGCAGCCCCACTCGAAGTACAAAGCGGCCGCGTAACCAGCCGGGCAAGTTGTCGGTGCAGTCCCCCATCAACGTCGATGATTCGGGAGATGAGAGTAGTTCTTTCAAGCCGCCAGCCGAGGAGCAGGACGACGATAGCGAGAGAGATGGGGGAGAAGAACGCGATTCAGATGATGGGGTAAGTGATAGGCAAGCGTCATTGACTGTACTAATGTGCGTCCTAGTTGATCGTCAAGGACGTTGAGCAGCACAGTGGCCGAAAGGGCAAGGGGAAGGTGTCGCAGAAGGCTGCCCGCGCCAAGGACGCCGGCGCCAAGGATGCCGCATCGCAGTCGAGCAACGATCCACTGATGAAGGAGCCCATTAAGAGCTTCCTGCAGCGGGCCCAGCAAGAGCTCCGCGTGTACATCGCGGTCGAAAATGCGTGGCCCCGCAAAAGGGGCCAGAGGGTTGAGAAGTTCGACGTGCCTCAAGACATCATCGAGCTGTTGGTCGAGAAGAACGCCCAGTACCAGACTGAAGATTTCCAGGAGACGTACCAGGAGTTGTGGGAGAACACCAAGATGAAGAATCGTATGATCAAATATGTAAGTGTCTGCCATACTGCGAGTCGTGGACTGACTGTAATCTTGTGAGCCCCTAGGTCTACAAAGTCGCCGCACAGGTCCGGCAGGAGTTGAAGCAGAAAGCCAAACGGGTGGTGGAGAAGGAATTCCTATCAGTGAAGATTTCCGGTGTTGGCCTCGACGCGGTTGCTCGCAATGACAAGTTGCAGAAGGCGAAGGAGGCGCGGATCAAATATCTCCGCAACCAGAACACGTTCCATTACGGGAACGTAGTGATGCCGGACCCGGACGTTTCCCCCGAGGTAATATCCATGCTTCGTAGTGCTTAACCTACTCCGCTAACTGCCACGAATAAGCTGTGGGACGAGCCCGAGCTTGACACGCCTTTCCACAGTGTCGTGATCGCGGAGATCATGGCGCGGCAGTGGTGGCTAGGGCAGCACCCGGAAGCCCTTCGCCGCGAGAACCGGTCTCGCTTCGACATCAACGTCAAGCCGCCGTCGAGCAATATGATCGCTCTGACCTGCAGCGCAGTGAGTAGCTGGGCTTCTGCATGGGTATCGGATAACCTGACGCATTGACAGATCTTAGTTGCCTTCGATGAAGCATTGGCAGGCAATACCACCGTCAACTTCGACGAGAAGACTTATGCCACGGAGTAAGTTATTTAATATCCTGCGCACAATTGCTAATCATCTTTGTCTTGCAGGCATGATCGCTTGAAAGCCGGCATAGACAGGTTGCGTAAACACGCGGATGCGAACAGCAGAATGTACGACGAAGGTATTGCCGAGCTCGTGAAGTCAATGAACGACACTATGGTGTCGAACATCATGTAGGTTACTTACATTGCATCGGACACAATCTGTTGACAAGTCGTGTAGGGCATTTGCTGGCATTGCCCATGACAAGAGCCAGAGGGACGAGGGCAGCACCCAGGAAGTCGACGATGGTATTGACATGCAGGCAGTTCTCGGCCGATGGGGCAAGAAGAAGGCACCGGCGTCCGCTGTCTCGGGTGTACAGTCACAGGCTGGTCAAGTATTGTATCCCCTCCCTCCAGTCGCGAGCAGCTCCA